AGTTATATATATATATATATATACACACACACGACATATATATATATATATATATATAGGCCTATATACTATTTGACTAATTGCTAAGGAAGGCAATTTAAAAATATCATTTATAAGTATTTACTAAAGGAAGTATTCTTTTTTTTAAATTTAATTTAATGATTACTTTTTGATCTCGAGTGTTTTGTTTCTTTTAACGTTTAAAATAATTTTTTAAAATCTTATTTTATGTAATTTAGAAGAAAAATTAATACTAAAACATTTCTTTAGCTACACACCTTTAGCAGCGGGTATTTTACTATAATTTACTTCATTAAAAACCGAAAATTGAAATGACATTTTAAAGATTTTCTTCGTGTTTAAGTATTTAAAAAGAGGTAAATTTTACTAAAAAAAAAAATCTTAAATTTAATTTAATAATTTAATGACTGATTTTATTAAAATAGGAAAATGTAACGATACAGTCAATTCAATAGCAGCGTTATCCTATGGGGGAAGGGAAATTACCTAGGGCCTCCACCTATAGGAATCACAAACAAATCTTTTATAGGAAAATATTTTACCTTTAGAAAAATATCTGAAGTCAACGCTGTACGTGGGGCCCACTAATTCCAATTCACCTTGATCCCATGAAGGTATGATCTATAATGCACCACTGAATCAAACCTCTGAATAACGGCAACTGACAAGGAACGTGAGAAAATGTCCATTATTCAGAGGTTATTTTTTAAGTATATTCAAAAATGTTATGTAAAAAACGCACGTAAACAGCTTATTTTATGTCGGAAGATGGTCGTTTTTGGAGGTTTGACTGTATATATATTTTTTAAAACAAAATTACACCATTCAAAATAATCAAATTAATAAATTTTTTTAAAATATCAAGAAAGGGTGGTCCAAAAGTCAGTTAACTATTATAAAGACTAAATTTCTCTCGTATTTAAATACTTTATTACGTACAAATCTTGCAAAGCGTGTTAAATTGCTTGCAGGAACACAGTTAATCTACTTTTGAGCCGTTCCATATATTTATTAATAATTTATTGATAAAATTATTATATTTATACTCGTTCTTAATGATTACGTAACCTTGTTCGAATAATTTAAAGATAACTTATAAGTTTATGTTTTGATATTAAGTGCTTTTAAAATAAATCTGTGAGTATTTTATTCAAATCAATTGAGTTTTAGGCATACTCAACCTCGGTTTTTGTTTAGGGCCTTGCACTTTTAGGATCGTGCGAAGTGTCAGATTATCCATTAGACACTTTAGCTTCATCTTACAGGCCCCAAATCTCGGGAACCCAAAAATTAGAAATTAAATAATTAAACTTTATTGTTACAATTGTATATCAAAATTCATAAATAATTCTACAGCTACAATTAGACTTTATTAATTTATGAAATCGTAAAATTACGTACAGAGGCCTCTAATCTTCTATGCGTAGGGTTTTAGAAAGATCTAATTCGACAGCGTATACTTTATGCCTGTCGATGCTTCAATCAGTTAAGTGTTTAAGTTATGCGAGAATGAATTTGTGAGGCCCCTCTATATGAATTTATATAATGTAAAGTTTCAGACTCACTAGATATTATATGAGGATCTTGCTAGTACTGTATATGAGACCAAATCCGAATATCGACGAGCGTATATTTATACGTGTTTGAGGCTCTAAATACAGAAGGCCCTAGACAAAAACTAAGTTGTCTGTGCTTAACACTGCTTAAACTACTAGGATCTTAGACTTATACTGTTTTATAAGCTTTATTTATAAACTTGTACAGTCAAACCCGTGAACAAAGGCCACTAACGGGAAATGGCCGTCATTTGGAGGTTATTTTGTTTTCATGTTTATTTAGAAAAAACAAAATTCTTGAAAAATAGCCACAGTTTAGTAGTGCCAGTTAATAGAGGTTTGACTGTATATATATATATATATATATATTACTTCTGACCAAAATAGGAAAGTTTATGCTACAATTTTAGTATATTCTATATTTATTAAAATATATTTACATTGATAATTCTATGTGATATAAGCTTTAAAGCAGTTCGATTTAAAAGCCATTAAATCTATGATTTACCTACGAAACTTTTGGAAATGTCCTTAATGCATTTTATTGATTCTGTATTAATGATAAAAATTCTCTTCTTACAAGAGTTTACGTTTTAAAAATTAACATAAATACAAGCCTATTAGCTAACTATCAATTATATATATAATTAACTTTAATTAATTAACAATTAGGATTATGTTATTTAATTACACCCATCATTCAGATAATATTAAAACATTAAGATTGAAATTCTTCACTTTAAAATTGGAGAATAATAAGATTCTTTTTAATTAAAATATCACTTAATTGCGAAGAAATTCCAAATTTTAATGGCTTTTTATGCTTTATTTAAACATTTTCTCGCAATTTTATAGAAGTTAAAAGTGTTTATTCCATTAAAAATAACTGTTTTAACCTTTAAATAATTGAGTAATTCTTTAATTAAGATGTTTACATGAATATCAATAACAATTTATAAACATTAATTCGTATATTTACAGTGTATTTACAGAATGAACTACCTATAAGACACATGACTTGATACTTATGAAAAATATCAGATAGGAAAGTTGTAAGAGCATGAAGATCTACCTTTGAAGTATTCATAAATTTCAAAGGATGCGAGTTTTGCAAGCATAAAATACCGAATTTTATTTACAACCGGAGAAAAATATGAATATTTCATTACTTTACTAAATTACTATTATAACATCACGCAGTATCTCATGAATAGCGATCAATAAACCGTTGTTGAAACTCTCGACCATTACTGTAAGAAAGTGCAGCATAGTCAGTCTATTATTTCTAAGCGTTACTACTGATTGCGCTTTCTCAATACCTCTAATGTCTCCTCTTTAAATAGTTTTAAAGAGATTAAAAGTTTGATTTATTACCTGGCTGTCGAGCCCCAGCATGATGATCATAAGAAAGAACAAAACTGCCCATAATGGTGATACTGGTAACTTTAGTACCGCTGATGGATAAGCCAGGAAAGCCAAACCGGGACCTGAAGTTATAAATAATATTTAGCATCTAGTATTATTTATTATTCTTTTTTTTATGTAAATCAGTCTACCTGAAGCGGCGACTTCATTTACTGGTCGATTTTGCTCATGAGCCATGAAACCGACAACAGAGAAGATCACGAAACCTGCAAACATTGATGTGCCACTGTTGATGCACGATACAATCAAAGAATCTCTGCAAATAATTAAAAATATATATTAAAATTATTCGTAGTTTCTTCAATTATATACTTAAAAGATAATAAAAATTACCTATAAACATTATTGTGATATTTGTTATAACTTCCTAACGCTATTAAAGAGCCGAGACCTAGACCATACGAGAAGAAGATTTGTGTTGCAGCATCGATCCATACCTAAAATTATTTGCATATAAATATATTTAATCAATTTACAAAAACTTTTACGGTGTCACCATCAAATAAAGTAATGCTTCAATGAGTATTCATTCGCATTATTGATTTTCCTTTCAGCTGTATTCGATTACACTAATAAGAAAAATTACTTACTCGTGAATCAGCCAATTTATGCATATCTGGATAAATGTAGAACTTGATACCATCGATGGCACCAGGAAGAGTAATGCCACGGATTAATAAAATAAATAGCAAGACGTAAGGAAACAAAGCCGTGAAATAAACAACCTGCAAAAGGACTTATGTAATTTGATACCGTAAAATGTCAATTTTATATACGAAACAACTTACTTTTCCAGTCCACTTAACGCCCTTCCATATACAAAAGTAACATAGCACCCAGGCAATTGCAAGCGTTCCTGCAAGAGGCCATCTAACCTCTCCTGGTTCTCCTAATCCTGAAGATACTTGCAATACGTTCTTTCTGAAATTCGATTAGTTATATTTTAGTAACTTTTATTCTTTTATTCATAAATTGGTGCATACAAACAACAGAATAAAGGTGTATACAAAATTCAACCCTATATTTCTTTAATCTATAATATCCATAAGTACAATCATACTCCCAATATTCCTTGACAGGGCTTTTCACACTAGTCGCATTGAGACACGTATCGTCAGAATCGCTGCAATTGTGTACGTAATCATATTCGCTACGGCAATATTCAGAATTCCACCAATTATCACATGTTCTCCAAGGTACATCCCATGTTAGAGAATTGAAAACATAGTACAATGCCCACGATAGAACAACGATGTAATAGATATTCAGCCAGAAAGCCATTACTGCTGCAGCGTAACCGACACCTGCACAGGTAAAACTAGTTTAGATCTTACGTGAAAGACATTTTACGATGGAAATTTCCTACAACTTACCTTTGAAAACAGGGCATATCTTCCATACTCCGAGACCCCCGATGCTGAGAAATTGACCTAGAGACGTTTCCAGAAAAAATGTAGGTATGCCAGCAAGAAATAGAGTTAGGAGGTATGGAACCAAAAATGCACCTGAAAAAATTAGATTAAATTGTAAAAACGTTTGTAAAAAAATATAAAAATCTTCTCTTGATATCGATTGTTACAAACTCTGTTTATATAGAGATGTAGTTCACCGGGGAATATATCGATCGTAACGATGTTTGTTCGTCGTACTGATATTCGCATACCTGAGAATGCTCGCTAGTGATTTATTTCTTTGTTGCAAAAACATTGCTTTGTATTGTAATTTACTAAAGGATTACCTTTAAAAAAATCTCTTACTGTAGATATGTAGTTAACAATCGATAGCAATGATTAAATTCGTCCAAATGTTTAACTTTCTGTTGCTCATCTCCAAGTTAAATATTTAGACTCTGAAGATACATTTCCACTGGATTAAATAACGTAAAATTCTGCAACATTGTAAGCTAATCTTTCTGTTTTTAATAACGTTTCTGGAAGGATAATTTAAAAAGATGTCTGCGAAATTGATAAGTGTATCAGCTTCTATCCATTTAACATTGAAGAAGTTTGAGATATGACATCGTGTCGCATCACAAGATGACACGAATATTTCCGGGCTCGTAAGTTCATTTTAAATAATATACCCCTACCAATACCTTTAATACTAGTAGCAGAAATAGGGCAAGAATTAATATATTAGATTTTAGAAAGAATAATTTAATTCTATTATGTATTGTTACGGAGCATCTAATTTATATTAAGTAAGCATTTTTATTTAAAAATTATTTTTAAAATGGCAAAAAAAAAAACATCTCAACAGTCTATTCGACATTAAAATATTCTGTAGAAATGACATGGCTTTCTGTACCGAAAATGTTTAGCATATAATAGACATCATCTGCAGTTAAATCCCTATTCTCAGTTCTCTTGTGACAACGGGGATTAAAATGCTGTTTATGATGTTTGTATTGATTTATCATTGTTGTAACCGAGAGATAATGATCGTTAAATTACTTATACACTATTAAATACCTGAAGTAGGAGATAGTGTAACATAATGTTTACTTGTATCCCCTTTAATGAGGTTATAATTTAATAATGTTAGAAAATTATCACACTCAACATTCGTTCGACCGCATCTTCAATCTGGAACCTAGTAAAATCGATAAGCTAATAACGTAGAAAGGAGAGAGAAAAAAATACTTAATTTTATTTAAACGACACGTTTTAATGTAGTTGATGTTCGTTTTTTTTTCTTTTTTAATTCGAAATTAGCCATTCGGTTATTGGAGACCAATAATGAAGAGCTTTACTTGCTCAAACAGTGCCGCTATCAGCTCGAACATCAAGTTTCCTGTCACAGGAAGACACAAATTAGTGCCACTAGAACCTATTTAGTAATTTAACTCTTTCTTTTCAACTTTCGCCACTTTAAACACGTACAGCAAATAAATATTTACGTTATATTCGTCACTGACCAAAAACTGCGAGCTGAAAATTTCTATTAAATCGAGTTATAAGTCTAGGGAAATTATTTATCGCTAAATTTTTATATAATTTATTGCGTAATTTATTATTAAACATGTTTTAATTTCTCCTGCGTAGTGTTGAGTAATGCGAAGTGTAACAAAGAACTCTATTAATAGAAGAGAGGAGGGATGAATGATGCACTTCCTCCATAAATCACATGACGACAGTGACGTATATCTTATCATTTTAAAGCTAAATTCTGATTACTGTTTATATTTATTCGACTCAATCTGACGTAAAATACACGATATTATTTAATCCTTTCGACGTACAAGTTGATTATTGCTCGTATCACGTCGATCCTTTCAAGGCAGGCAACGTGCTGCAAATGACATCCTGACTCCGTATTACTTGATGAATGGAGGGTGAGGTGGGATTTCCTCTTTCCTTACTACATTGCTCCGTTTGTGTTACCTGATTGATGTCTTTCTTTTATGTTGGTTAATGTCGCGTGCCTTCCACAATCACTTGATTGGAACCTGACAAGTAATCAACTGATAAATGACACGGATAGAGGAACTTATCCGACCAAGTTGCATAGTGTGACTATAATAACGCGTTGCCCTTATAAATTGATTGTGTTACAGGTGTTTGCTGTAGAGTTTTTGAATAGAACGGTTTGCGCTTAGCAATCCTGACCTCGACTAAATATCCTTTTTCCGTCATTCTTGTCTAATGATGATTTACGATGGTCCGGGTTGTGTTGAATGCTACTTCCCGTGGCCATGAGACATAGGAAACGTCGCTTATTTCTCACGTGTATCTAACTCAACCCTATCGACCTCTCTATTCAACCGCACATAGTCGATACACGTTGGATGAACGTAGATAACGGGAAAAAATCTCTTTAGAAAAAGCTTCCAGAGTAAAAATTTATCAAAGTAATTCCAAATATAACATCTTTATCATCAAAACAATTCAAAATTAATAATGCTGGAGGTGTATGAATATAAAAAAGAACGTCTCTTCTCCTTGAAGATTGCGTGCTTTACCAAGGAGCTGATGTGCCACTTGTGGATCGTGTGCCTCTATTTGCTAACGTAGATTAATTCTTCACTCGAATACAGCTTTTATGCGAGAGAAAAGATTCCTCGTTATCATATCTTACAACAGAATTAAGAATAAAGAAGTAGAACTTAAGTAGATATTTAAGCAATAACGATACCATTAACAAAAGTCAGCAATTAAACGTATCAGATCACAGAAAGAAGCAAGCTAATGAATTGCCAATGATAAAAATAACTCACCACCACCGTTCTTGTAACACAGGTAAGGAAATCTCCAAACGTTACCCAAACCGATAGCGTAACCAACACATGACATAATAAAGTCCAAACGTCCAACCCAATTTCCACGTTCCGGTAAATCATCATCGGGCAATTGTGTTGGGTTCTCTGTCGTTACTTGTAAATTACCACCGTTGACTGGAAAACTATTCATTTCGTGGCTCAGTTTCCCCTTGTCGGCCATGTCTCCACGTGTTGTGAAACTAACCCAACACACAAGACTGATCTCGCCTCTCCTGCCGGCCCTTTCACCTAAGGGTTGCGCGCACGTGATTGTAAGCAGCCAATAGCATGCGGGGTTTCTTCCGCGGAGCCCCCCGATTAAATTTTGTTTAGAAATTTTTCATTGGTTAACCCTTCTTAATTTTTTTCCGTACTCCATTCCTATTTATTAAACTTATCAATATCAATCGCGTACGAATAGTTTTACAAAAAGCTACAAACTATTAACAAATCGATAACTCGAACTAACGTTGTTACTAAATTTTTATTTTTCTTTCTTTATCCTGGAAGCAGCGATGTTAGTGTTAATATATCTCGTGTCAATCACACTATTATATTCGATTACCCCTATTGAACGTGTTTAACCTCTGTTAATACAAATTTTTTTTTATATCTTCCGAATGGCACACGCACTTCAACGTTATATACGAGATGTATTGAACAAATCTGTATCGGTTTGTAACATTGTACGTACTAATGAGGATGTCATGAAGGGGGGTTTATTTTCATTCTTCCTCTCTTAATTCCGGGAAATGTTACTGATAGCGTTTCTTCATCTTTATTGAAAATTCTCAATCGTTCCTCCATTGATTCTTCAGTAATAAACGCCGAAGAGATACACGATTGATTCGAATTATTTTCGTCATTTTCCCCAACAAAATACAATTTAATCTGCATAAAATCTAATTATCTAACCTCTATATAGGTTATATATTTAAATATAAGTAAAATAAAGGTTAGAGAAATGGTAACGGTGCTCTCATTCTCCAATCTTAAGGCGGCTAACTACAAGAGTTCTTGCAACAGATAATTACATTTGATAACATGCGTGTATGTAAGTGTTTGTGTGTCATCTATTTTCATTTAATAATAATAATAATAATAATAATAATAATATAAAAAAGCAGGAAGTTGTTTAATTATTTCAAGAACAAATATGGATAATTCTTTGTAAAACGATTATCGCCATTTTGAGTAATTACAAATTACTAATATAACTTCCGTCCGGTGGAGATGGCGCTGCGAACACTCGACTATTATTAATAGTGGGTATTATACGATTAGAAACGCTTACCTAATCGACGCTAACTTGATTTAATTAACTTATAGAATTATATAAGTCGATGTACAAACCCTTATCTAGGTTATTTTATCATTATTCGGAAATTACTAGTTAATCGTTTTAATCGAGATGTTAAATGAACTATTTATAAAATCGATTAATCAGCAAGTATGGTAATACCCGATAAGAAGCCATTTTGAAAACCATTAATAATTCAACGAACTCTGCGTTACGCGTTTAATTTCAGCGTTTTAATGTTAATTCCTGCCGTCACGTTTCGCTCTTCCTTGGTTAACATTATCGATTTTCTTATTTATAATTTTAAGTAATGGTTAAAAACATTTACGCGTTTTCGCTAATGGCGGATTAACGCCTTCCTGGGCCCTTCTGCACGATTTTACGACATTATTTATAAATTATGATATACGGTTTCAAATTTTTTTTTCCAATTTCGAATCCTCTCGAGAATTGGGGCCTATAGGCATGAGCCTAGTGAAAATTCCTAGTGAGATATAATGCCTATTGGTATTACGTTTCGCATTTTTTTGATTATTTTCTCCCCTTTTAACGGCTTAAATTCTTAAAACTTAATTTAATTTCAAAATAAGTATGTAAATTTAACATTTGGCAATAATTCTAGCAGATAGATAATGGAATCTATGTTGTGAAAAGGTAATTTCCATAATCTTTACGTTATAAAATACTGTTTGTTTACGCTGGTGTAATATGGATATTGTGTTTTTGCACGATTTCTTTTTTTGACTTTTACTAAATCGATTCTTTGTGATGTGATTTTTAAAGGAAGATGCTTTGTGTTTCGTCCTTGAAGATATTTGCTGAATTGCTTTTTAAATTTTCTACATTAGGTATTTCCTGTATGTGGACTGTGCTAAATACTGTTCACACGTTTATAAAAAATAAATATAGGATATTTTGTGTTTATAAATTGGGTTATGTAAAGAAACGCTATTTTATTCCTGCCAATAAAGCGTTTTGTCTTCGGTGATTTTGTTATGAAGATAGTTCTTGTTACATTTATTGTTTTCTTATTAATTTTAAGAAATATTTAAACAATTTTACTTTCTGGCTGTTTTGTAAGAGGAAAGGCATGGCGATCGATGAAAAGTGATCCTTCTAAGCTTTTTAATTTTGGTACCAGGGGACCTAGAAAAGTCGAGAAATGTTTGTGTGTGAAGGGCATGATTTTCATCTATTTTGAAGCTTAATAACTCCTGTGTCTCTTCTCCAAAATTTCTGAAGTTTTGCAAGGAGGTTTGTGTATTAGAGAGAAATATTTCTAGAAATTTTCAGGAAAATTGGACCATTCTTTCGTCAGATAGAGTACCCATCTTCTTAATATCTCTCGAATCATTCTGAAGACATAAGGGTAATGATAGCAATTATTAGGGATAAAAATAAATAATGCCAGGAAAGTCCATCAACAATGTTGCTAGCTTTTTAGGCGTAGTTTTAATAAATTATTTACGTACAACAAGAAGGCCTTACACATACGGAATACAGCGGAAAAGCGTCTAACGTCACTTCCGTTATTTTTTACTATCGATAGTGTAGTATCTCTTAGAAACGTAGTAAACAGGTTATCAAAAGTAAAAATCAATATATGTATAAAATGCAGCAGTATCTAGAGATGAAAGTATGAATTTAATGGTTATAGGCTGATCCGTTGGCTCTGACCTACTTGGGTTTTGGTTTAGAAAATTAAATTATTAATAAATTATGCTGTTTTATAATAATAATAACAATAATAAATCCGTTTTTAGATCGATAATAATTTAAGTTTCAGTGAAAATTTATCAGATAACCGCTTTTAATGAACTGTTTCTATTGTTTTCCGACAACTTCATATCGATTTTTAACTTCGTTCATTAAAGTCAACGAAAGGGGAACAAAAGAGAGAATTCTCATATATTTAATTTTAGATTCTGAATAGTATAAAAAGAATATATTTTGCATAAAATTATTAAGAATTCACCAAGACATTAACAAGATCCGAAGACATTTTTTAAAAGTTCTTTTAATTGAATTTCGTTTTTGAATTTAATAAATATTTAAAAAGAATTCTATGAAGAGATATATAATTTTTTTTTTAAATTTTCTTTTAAGATTAAAGAGAATGTTATGTGAAGAATTTGCCTTTAAATAAAGAAAAGTTCCTTTAATTGACAGTATATCAAGATTATTAATATAAAAGAATTTGTGGAATTGAAAGCTAACTTCCTTGTAGCATTCTTACTCCATTAATTAAATATTATATTTTTAAAAATATATTATTTAGAAAATTATGAAGTTTACTTTCATACTTAATATCCTTAAATTTTTGCTTAGAAATTGCTAAAAATTAAATTATTTAAACGTTAAGAGTTATTAAATTTCAATTAATTAAATAAACTAACGTCAAAAATACATTTTAGTAAATTTTTATAAAGACGTGTGTTTTTTAGATAAACCCCTGTGTGTTAGGCTTTCTTTTATATCCGCAATGTCGTACCGGTAAGTGTGATTTCAGTAAACTTTTAAAGTCCTTTTACCGATATGTACTTTTGATACTCGATAAAAATCTTACGCTAAAATGGAAAGTGGAAGACTATCAATCATTCGGAGAATGAGGCAATCACGTGCGCCTTATCTTCATTTCGTTATAAACATATCACAGAAAGTCATAGCCTTCAGTCATGGGATGGATATGGATATAGTTCAAGCTATCGTTTTAATAGTCATGATCGTCCTTATTCTTTTTACCCTACTAACCAATTCATGCTTGCTCTACATTATAACCACTCGTTCACGATTACAGAGAGACCCGCCAAATGTCTTCATTGTAAATTTATGTGTGATAGGTATTGCAGCTTCAATCACAATCATGCCTATTTCTGTAACGAATTTCCTCATGGGAAGATATAGTTTACCTCACTTCTTCTGTCACGTAACCGGTTTCCTCAATACTCTACTGACTTTAAGTGATATATTTACAGTGTGTGCTGTCAGTGTCGATCGATATATTTTCCTGGCTCACCCTCTGTTACATTCAACAAATATCACTGGATTTAGGACTATTATAATAATCATCGTCACATGGATCATTTCTGTCATCATTTCCGTCCTACCACTTGTTGGTTGGGGTCGATATTCATTTCAACCTAACAGAGCTAGATGCTCTTATTCTCTCAGCAGAGAACCTTACACTCGAAGTTACGTCATTACTATAGCAGTAGTTGGCTTCTTATTACCGTTAAGCCTCTACTTGTGTATGTACATCGCCATATTTCACATAGCTAAATCGTCTCAAAGGCAAGTACGACCAACACCTTTATGTATAACCACGATTAGTCAATTAACAGCTACAACAGTCAGCGAGAGAAGCTCCGATACATCCATTCTCTCTACGTCATTAACTATTATAGGGTTTAAAAAAATTTCGAAAGCAGCAAAAACTCTTCTACTAATAACTGGGACTTTTATATTTTTCTTTTCTCCTCAATTTTTGGTTGAACTTTTCACCTACGAAGATAATTTACCTTACGAAGCCGGTTTGTTCCTATCCTGGCTAAACTACGCCAGTTTGGCACTCCATCCGATCCTCTACAGTTGCCTAAATTGTTTCATCAGGGAAGAGATCGTAGCTTTTCTTCGAAGCCTCAAAACGTGTTGCTGCTATAATAATAGCGAAATCACGAATGGTAGCGGCGAGGTCGAAAGCTTTTACCAATTTTTAGAAAGAACTTCCGTCATTAATGACGTGGAGATCGAAAGAACTAATTTGTGACGTAGTTATAAATCTCTCGGTGGGTATATATTATTGTTATAACTTATGAAATTACTATTTAATTCGATGCAAATTTCACATTTATGTATATTATAAGAGCACATTTCAAACAATAAATTAATATTAATAAAGTTTTTTTTGGGTATATTTCCTGATAACAAGAACCGCACAGAAAATAGAGATAATTCACGAATAATCCTTTAAAATTCGTATAATTTCACTTTAATTCTGAAGTTATATTATATTAATTTCAAAACTGATACGAAGTACTTTAAAATCAAAGTAAACGCATCAATTCTCTCTCATTTCCCTTCCAGCTAAATATAAAAATTTTTTTATGAGGGAAGATACCAAAAATAGAAGATAGTAAGGATAAAAAATAATGGCACAATAACTTATATATTGTCAAATTATTAACTGTTAAGTGCATTATCTCGTTTTTAGTATTATCGGGTTGTTGGAGTCGCAAACTGAAGCTAGAAACGAACAGATGGTGGAATATCTAGGACTTTGGATCAATTTTTTTTACAAAGAGATAAGCTCGACGAGAGAAAATATTTTATCGTTATTTAATAAAATACGCATTACCTTAATAGTAAATAAATGTTAATTCCGTATCACGGTTTAAGTAATTAATACTAAACAAACTATAAAGATAAGTTTATATTCGGTTAAATTATCGAAAAAAATACTTTAAAGAATTGTTTCCTATACGTGTTACAATAGCACATGTCTGACATGTGCTTGAATTGTAGCTAAATACAGAGCGCCCCCTAATTAAAAAATTTTTTTTTTAAAGCGGTCATTTTTAAAAATAAAATATTAATATTTTCATTGTTTTTTACTTTATTTACAAATTTTAATATTGTTTAAATTGATGTAATTTCTTTTAATAATTATTAAAACAATATTTATTCCGTTACGCAAATTAAAAATCGCTCCGTAATATTTACTTTTTGGATCCGGTTTTGCTAATTGTAAGGTATAATATGTTAAATTAAAGTCGATTAACTAATTTATTATTATTTTTTTATATAAATTTTTAAATTTATAATGTGTGATAATTCAAATTAAAATTGTGTTTGATTAATATTAATTATAATTTATTAAAAAACATATTTAATGATGTAACGAGCGGTTCCCTCAGATCCGTGTCGTTCCGCCGCGTGTTCTCTATATTAATCGTTAAATAAAAAAAAATATATAACATTTAAATAAGAATTCAGCTTTAGTTTAATAGTTATTTATTTTAAGAAATTTACTTTAATTTTCGGAATGTCGAATGTTTAGTGGATGCGATTCAACGCTTTATATTAAGGGAATTCGGAAATAATTATCGCCGACTCGTAAGGGTTTTTACGTTTAGTATTTGGAATAACATTTGTTTTTCTTTTAAATAAAGCAATGTTTCGTATAAAACACCTTAAAATATTTAAATAAAATTTTAAAAAAGAGTTATCACGGCGAAATTATAAGTATTGGCGTCATATACGATGGGGAATTAACAGATGTTTATGAGAAAATGTTATCATTTTCCCTTGGTAAACGATCCAGATGATGATTTGAAACCGAATATAAATTTCGGGTGCAAGCAAATCTCCCTCTTTACAGTCACTCGTACAGGTGAGTTATGAACAATAAATATTTTATTAATTATTAATATTTTCCCGTTTATAGGGAATAAATAATATTTAATATAAATATTTTATAAACTTACAGAAACGAAAATGAAAATCGCTTTCCTTGTTGTCTGCTTAGTTCTTGGCTCGGCAACTTCGTCGCCATTACAACGTGAGTAATGAAAATTCATTCATTTATTTATTAAAATATATATAATTCAGTTCATTTTTTTAAAAAAATTCTTAAAACAAATTTTGTATATTTAACGATTTAATCGAAGTTTATCCCGTAGATTCTTTTGGATTGGAGACGTTGTTGGAAGAAGTCGGCGAGGGATACCAAACAGCTTCAAAAGTGAGTACCTTCGTAGGATCTTGGTAATTTGAATTAGGGGGCCCCACGTACAGAGTTGACTTCGGATTTCTTTCTTCGGAAGAATTTTTTTTGGAGGGTAAATATTTTTATATAAAAAATTGTTTTGGGACCTCCCCAGGCAATTGCCATTTTTGTCTACAGGATACGCGCCAATGGTTTAATTATTTATCTAATGATTAAACTTACCTTTTAATACTCCTGAATCGGTTTTTTCAGTAATTTAAATTGTTTTTTGTATGTTTTAAAGGTTGTGGAAGTGGCTCACAAAATCGAAAGATTAGTCGTCACCCTTAAAGAAACCGTCCCCCATCTTTATCACGAATACAAAGACGTCATAGAGTTGCTACGTGGAGAAATTGGTGAAATTGTAAGCGATATAAAGTACTTACTGAACAAACAAAGTAAGTATATATACATCATACAAGCAATGGTTCAAGTGTTACGTCAGTAGCTTATAGGGAGTGAAGACGAGTCTCTGATGACGTAAGATTGCACCCCTCCTTTATTTTCTTTCCAGTCATCACAAATTGAAAATAATTCCTGGTTTAAACTTCTGGCTTTGACATAATTAGGGGAAGGGAGTACCTTGATTTCTGATGACTGGTGATGAGGAGGAGGGGGATTTCTGCTGATGTAATACTCGAACGGCTCCGTATTGGAGAAAAAGAGTCATTATTTAACGCAATTTCTTTGATTAGATTACTACTACGGTTTTGATTTATTGGATGGCTTGACCGAACTGACAGACGGAACAAAATTGAGTACTGTTCTTCGATTATTGAGTCTGGCTGACAAAGCTCACAAGTTTGTCAACGACCTAAAACACGTGAGTGTGAGAAACATTTGTATCGTGTAATGCGTCCGGTTAACGATTATAATGGTTTCCTGAGTTTAGTCACACGACTGTTGAACAGTTGGTTTTACAAATTGAATGGGCACATCGGTCTCCACTTCAAAAAAATAAAATCAACCTCAGCTGATATTAAAATATAATTAACACTCGTTTCTAACGGTAGATGGCTCTATGATAAATATTTAAATGGTCCCAAACATTAATTTTCACTTCATTATTGATTAAAATTCTTAACTTAATTTATAACAATTTAAATTAAATTTATCAAGTTTCTCGCAAATTATTTACGATTTTAACATGTAGAAATGAATTTCTCAGCTGTTAAGAAGTGTAAATTACTGTAATGCATCCCGTAAATATATACTGTATAAATTTAACAGATATATATATAATTGCTCAAAGTACCATCATATTTCTCTAAATGCATATTTTATTTTTAGGCTGTTCCCGACGCTAAGGAAAGGCTTCACAGAGTCTTGAATGACTTGGAAAATTCCATGACTGACTTAGTTCATCACGTTATTCGTGAACTTGGTGGAGATAATTTCCTTGCAGCTGTACCTTTCTTAGAAGAATTAGAGGAGATTTTCGATGAATTTGCCGATAAAACTTTAGGCAAAGTAAGCTTGAACAAAATTTAAAAAAAGAAATTAATTGCATTCGAATATCAATTATTCTAATTCGAGTGCTATTTAATTTATATAAAACATTTTAGAAACTTGAGGGATAAGATTTACTTATAAAAAGAAACAATAATTATTTGTAAAATCGCGCATTTCTAAATAGAAAATTGGTCTTGAATCCATCATTATTACAAGTTTGATTTGTTAAATCATTTTTAAACTGAAGATATAATTTACAGTCGACCCCCCATAACACTGTTGATAATTCCGTTTTATATGAATTCCATGTTGTACGAATCACTTAGATTTTATAAATACGTGAGCCGTTCACAGCCCGGCACACGTATTTATAAAATCTAAGTGACTCGTACAACATGGAATTCCTATAAAACGGAATTATCAACAGTGTTATAGGGAGTCGACTGTATTTGAATAAAAAGATTCAAGTAAAATTATTTTTTAGGTAGTTGATCTTGTTGTTGCTATGGAAGGAGTTATTCGTAGAATTGAAGATGAACTTCCAGTCGTAGCTGAAGATGTGAGACATTTGATTCGTGACATCAGACAAGATTTTAAAGATATTATGAGAGATTTGAAAACCACCTTTTTGGGTAAAATATGGTTTATTCTTAAACTTTAATTTTATGTAGCTTCCAATTAAAATTTGTTAGATTATTGTGAAAATAAACCCAAACTCTCCGAATTTCAAATACTGTAATAAACTTCGAAAACTATTTTTTAAAAAAAATCAAATTTTTAATAGACTAACGACATCTAGCGTGTAAAATTTTAACTATTGTTATAACAAATGATATATTGATGTTCATTTACAATGTAGGTTACAGTTTTCTCGATGTAATGGGAGATCTGACCGATGGAACCAAGTTGGGTACAGTTATGAAGGTCGTAAGTCTCATTGACAAATTCAATACTCTCGTTAAAGATGTCAAACAATTGGAACCAAGGGCAGAAGCTGTGTTAGAACACAGCGTTAGTGTCGTTGCCAACCATGCCCAGGAGTTTTTAAATCACGCTTCTGATCTTTTATACAAAGAACAATATTAATTAAAGTTATAACGAGAATTTGAATAAAATAACTTTAAAAAATTTGCAATTGTGTTCAATTTATTCATTTATATAGTTTTTTTTTTTTTAATCAAAACAATTAAGCCATACACATTTGTTAAAATTTTACAAAAATTAGCATTAATATTTATTTTCATAAATTTAAATTTACTTAATTAGTTCTTTCAATAACAATATTGAAGAACAATGATTAAAAAACAGTTTTATAAACTTATTGCTAAAGTATTGTGTTATGTTACAATATCACATATTATTCTATCAAAATTATATAAAACTAATTCATAATGACTTATGTAAACTTTATTATATATATATTGTGACATTGATCGGCATGAATCTCGGCACAAAATTACAATAGCTCGTCAAAACAGTTAATTATTTATATTGCTGCCGTAATGAATTAAAAAGATCACCGATATAATTTTTCTTTTAGAAAAAGCATACAAATATTTCAAAATTTATGCAATTTCCTACAAGAAAAAATTTATTTATAGTACTATAAGTTAAATCAAGTCTTTGCATAATCTTGGCAGCACCCGATACTTTTGATTATTAATTCAGATTTAATGTTTCTGCGATGTTTAACATATTAGATATGTAACCATTAAATACATGCTATAAATTTGCATATTAAACTTATAAATACTAATATATAGTCCTATGAAAAATTATGGCACTATTTTATAAATCTTGCAATATTTTTTAGATAACTTTCATCGTTTACATAAAAACTTCTTTTAAACATTCACAATATATCTCTTATAAATAAAAAAAGTAAATAAATAAATAGCAATTTTACAAAAAACTGCTTTGATATGTAAAATATACATAATCATGTAAAATTTTATAGCATGGTTGTAAAGTTTTAAGAACTTTTTTAAATATATTTTTAATTAAGTATTTTTTTTTCCATTTTAATTTTTTTATGGTAAAACTTTTACAAATTAAAATATATATATATTTTTTTATATATATGTATATATTATNCTATTTGTTGGAATCAGGTGTTATTCCGATGAAGTGAGTCCTTTCTGACATGTGTGGTCGTGCACTGGAGGAGGTAGTTGCAGGTTGGCATCCAACAGGGATTGCCAGGCCAGAGAAAGAATCAGCTCCTCCTTCCGGTTAATGCACGTGGTTACCACAGCTATCTACAAAGCCAGTCAGGTAAGACAGTACAGACAGAAAAGGAAATTTTACAAAATTTTATGATATTTACTATGCACTGAAAAAAATAAATCACATTAACCACTTTTCAAGTTTGGATGTTAAATCGACAATAATGCACTATCCAGACATTATGCAAGATGTAGCATTGATTGTCACAGCATTGCCACCAACCAAGTTTCAGTAGAGCATTTATTTTCCACTCTTAAAATTATTAAATATGATTTAAGAGCTTCAGTGAATGTTGACTTAATAGAAGTGATTTTTTCTGTAAGGAGTAATTGAGTATATAACAGAGATGAAAAATAATAAATTAACTAACATGGCAAAATAAGAAACCTTTTTCTTTACCAGTCTAAATGTTATATTTTTCATTCTTGACTTAGTTTAATGTATCTTTATACTTATATATTACCAAATATACTCGTATATTATGTACAGTACAACATTTTTATTAAACTAATTTGTTTGTGTACGAATGTATTTACTATTTTTATTCATACATGCTTACCAAATACCATTGCCATCATCAAACAAGTCAATAAATGTGAATTTATATATTCAGTAGATGTGTTGATTTTTAATGTTTAATTAGTTTTTTAAAATCGTTTTATTTTGTATTTTTAAAAAATAATCAGAATCGTCATCATTATTACTTTCCCAGATTTTTACTCTTTTGGACTTGGGAAGCCTTAAAATGTAGAGAAGTTCAAAAGCATTCGGGGTTTTTTCTATATGCATGGGTGTTAGAATGTGTACCAACCGATTTAGTTCAACCATTTTGAAGCTTAATAATGCCTGTATTAAACCATCTGACTCTGATTCAAAATCGTGACTTCCATACAGTCTAACATTCGTACATACAGAAAAAAATACCTGAATCTTTTGCATATCTTGACATTTTGAGGTGTCCTGAGTCAAAAAATGCAAAAATTTGGGGTTGGGATATTTTGACTGATCGCTACACTTTTCCTGTTACATATAACAGCTGGATAAGTAAAAATTATCAAATACATATTTATATATTGACTATGTCATTACTTAGAGGAGTATTTTAGCTTTGGAATTAAAAAGTTTCTATGTTCTATCTTTATTAGAACTATATTTATTGAAGCTTATATTCTGAGGTCACGTGATGACATCAGAATTTTCAGGTTTACTTTGTTAACAAGTCCACCTCTGGTCAGAGTTGGAGTTGAATGGCAAGGAAAAATCAGAGTTGGAGTCATGTAAAAATCTACCGACTCCACAGCCCTGATAAATTCTCAAAACCACTTTTTCTCCCCAAAATGCAAATCAAATATATCTGATTTGCATATGTTACTATATAGCTATACATATAATATATGTATAGCTAATAATAAAGCCATTATTGAATAAGTTTCCAATTAGTTAGTACATTATCTTTTAACAAATTTACAAAAAATTTTATTATTACATACATTTTTAAAAATTTATAATGTCATAATCTACATAATAAGATAGGAATGTCTTCTTACTTCAGACATTAAACAACTTGATGAGAATGATTGAACGTATGTATGTATAGTAGACTCTCAATTAACCAGCATCCATGGGGATTAGTAGATGATAGAGCTACTAGTAAAAAGTAGATGCTTAGTTGTTTGAGAGCTACTAGTAAAAAAAAGCCTACTAATTCTATACCCTATATTATAACATAACTTATTATAAATTCTGTATTCACTTGATATTAATATTGAAATATAGTAATTAAAAACAAATTAAGACAATAAAGACAAACTCAATGTAATATAGATTTATTATAAAAACAACTAATAAAAGATCCCAACCAACCAGCATGTCAACACATGGTAAATTGGCAAGAGTGAGAGACAAACATCTGGCATGTGAAGTGTGGGCTTTTCACAGCACAGCACAAAAGTATAAACTTACATTTCTGATAAAAATTGATTTTATTTTAATTTTTACTTAAAGTATTATTTCTTCAAATTTTTATGCTAATTGTTTGAGTTCTGATTAATGGAGTATTCACATATGTATACAAAATTCTTTTATCATACTATTTTCAATGTGTTCAATAAGCAACTTCTGCATCTATATACTTCTTCCAGCATCTATATCACTTTTTCAAAACAGTCCTGAAATCTAATTTTTATCATGCCTTTAATGGCTTTTATCATTGCAGCTTGATTTCTGCTGCTTATTGTAATCTGCTCTCTTCAACTTTTTATTTTACAAAAGGCAGTGGAATAAAAATCAAGGAAATATGATATGTAAAAAAGTACTATTATACTTTTCTTGGTCAAAACATTGGTGGACTGGCCCACCAGAAAATTCCCTTCCCAATGGACTGTTTGTTCAGTGGCTTTTCTTATTTTAATATATGTTATATTTCACTTGAGAAAAAAAGTTAAACAAAATATAAACTTTAATACAGTAGACAATCCTTAAAGTCTTATACTAATTCACATCATAAGCTGCCATGGTACTGTACAGCCACAGAGATAGACATTGGGCTCACCAGTGATGATATTCGAAATATTTAATTAACAAAGGGTTTGTTAACAGAAAATTTTTCCTTAATTTTTTTTTGCTCAAATGGTGCATTAGCAACATTAGTGCAAAAACTGACCTTAAGATATCCATATAAATAAAAAAAAATGTGTTTGCAAAATTAAGTCAGTTAAAATTTAACATTGTTTATGCCAGAACGATATTTTTTTTTGATAAATAATAAAAAAAAGTGTTCAAAATGGTTTATTTTGTACATATTTTAATATTTTTCATTCAAAATATTTTATAAACATAAAAATTGCCTTTTTTTAATCAGAAAAAGTCACAAGGAAAGCAGTTAAACAAGAAAAACTTTTCTAAATAATTTATTTTATCGTTAGGTATTATTATAATAATAGACAGATGTAGTCGTCTCTCGAAATACAATATCTTTCTTATTTCGCTGTTGATAGCCCAACACGTGTTCTGCAGCCATCTTGTATTTTCTCGCACACGTGGGATTGTGGGATCTCTCTTATGACTGGATCTAGTTTTGAGAATTCTTTTGAGTTGATCGCGATTGACCCTCGTTTTAGTCGTGATTGAAACGGTCGATGGAGGTTACACTAGGCTAGTGTTTCTCAACGGGGGCGATATCGCCCCCATGTGGGCGTTTTTCCATGTTCAGTGGGCGATTAGCAACAATTTATATTTTGGGGGCAAAAAACAATTTTCTGGGCGATATAGTAAAACATATTATTAAGAATNGGGGCCTGACAAATCCAGACAGACCACTCCCTGAAAAATTCCTGGGATATTTTGATGTCTCCAGAGTGTAGGCTGCCACCTTAACTGCTAACCATCCAACAATCAATCAATCAATCAATTTAGAATCATCTAGAAAAAAAATGTACCTGCAGCTGTTTGATCTTTTAAGATAATTTTTAAAAATATTTCTTTTATATTAGTGCTAATGTAACATTTATGTCTCTTTGTAATTTGTCTGTTTTTATATAAAATAGCCCAAGAGGTCATGAGATATGGCAGAGTCAATCTTTCTGAGTCTCATCTTTTTTAATCAATATACAATATATCCTTGCAATTATATCATTATCATAGAGATTTTTCTTTAACATCTTTTGCATATTGAGGTTGACAAGAGGCTCAACATAAAGCTTCATAATAGCCTTCTTCAGACTATTTTATCCAATTCTGAGGTGTCAAGTCTTTTCATAATTCAACCTTGTTTTATTTTAGTGTTTCTTCTGAATTTGGGAAATTTTTTACTATAGTTATCGTTCTGGTTTAATATTTTCTTTTATCAATATTCATTTTTTATTTACTTATGGATTATAAAGTAATACCATAGGCAAGAAGTATAAGTATATCCCCAATTAACAATACATGATCTCTTTAAATTACAGTCAATTCTAAACATTTACTTATATTTATTTATATAAGTAAAAAAAAATAAACTATATATAAATAAATTAAACTTTGAATTCTATACATTATTCACTTTCTAAATCATAGTTTTTATAACAATTTTTTTAATCGAAATTACTGAAGATGTATTATTTTTTGGCCAATAATAACCAAATTTTAAAAATGTATATTGAATTGTCTTTTATATAAAAAAACTTGCTGTTCTTCTTATACATATAATAGAGTAAATCAGAAGAAAAACAACACTATACATCCATTTACAAAATAATTTGATTTTTTCTTTTAGTAGAAAAACACATTTGGAAGTAAAAATAAAACTCTGATATGGTAAATTTTAAGTTATCTATCATTCAGTCTTGTTATTTTGTTATTTACTTTTGCTTATATTAGCAAATTCAAATAGAGTTTGATATAAAATAATTGTTATGCGTGTCATCAATTTTTAAAAATAAACTATTATTATTTTATGAAATTAAAAATTTTATATTTTTTATTTTTTCAAACTCAATATTTCATATTTTATTGAACATTAATTATATATGCTTCTATCTACACTATATATTATACTTATATTAGATATTATTATTATAACATATATAAATAATAACCTAAGTATGCAGCAAATACAAAAGTTTAACATATCATGTAAGCATTGATCATCCTATAAAGGTAACCTGATACATGACAAATATTCTTTCTACTTTATTTAATATAATTATTGCAGAATGAAACAAATTATATTTGTTATTTGTAGTCATAAAGTAATATGATACAAACATACAGTAAAAATATAACCACTGTAATGTAATTGTAAATCTAATGATATTATATCTGTTGATAAATGTTAAAAATTAATTTAGATTTGCATGTTACAATATCATTTGATACTGTTGAGTCTATTAGCAAAATGGAAAATTTAATTACACATAATAAGATAGTTAAAACATTTCCACAGACAAAGATATGATGTTTGGATTTATAAGTTTTAATAATCTAAAAATATAAAGTTTTGTAATTGGTAATATGTTTTAAGTATGGTACATATTAATCTCAATTCATTTTTATTAGGTTAACCATATTTACAATTCAACTAGGTTCAGAATCAGTGAAAATGGTGCCCTTTAAAATTTATTATATCTATTTATTGATCTATAAATTTACGATATTATATTGACGTGTTTCTATTCAAAGATTGATTCTACAATCAAATATTAAAAACAGGAAAAAATTAGGATCATCATCTTGTCACTCCCATTTTTATTAAAATTTTCAGATCAGTTTCCTTTTCAAAACAAAAGTTTGTTTATACGTTGTGGGGGAAATTAGTTCTTTCAGTTCACTGCATTTACTTTGAAAATTTTTGAAAAATGAATAAAAAAAAATCAAAGACATTCAGAAAGTATCACATTTCAAGAGTGATAAAATAACATTGATATAAATCTAGCATATAGCAATATATATTCTGTTTAATCAAATGTATTATCTAACTGTGGCAATAGAATACATCAATAGTCCTTTTATGCTTTCTTTTCATGCTACTAGTCTCAAAATGGGACTGATAATAATAAGTTAAAATGCTTTTATGTTATCAGTTTTAACCAGTGTTTTAAATTAATTAAACTGTTTTAATCATTATTTGCTCACAATATGATAGTTTAAATTGCTGGCATTGCACTTGTTGTTGAAGTTGGCAACAGACAAAATAATGATTATTATTATATGTCAGTTATTATAATTATTACATCTTCAAATTATACATTTTTAAATTGTTTTAACATGTCCTTTTAATGTCAGAGTCAAATTTTCTCTAATTGTAATCTTATTCACTTACTATGTCCCAAAGTTTGATTACAATAAGTAGCACCTACTGTATAAATAAATATGCTAATATTCTGTTTAATTAAATTATTTTTGTTTTCTATATCATAGAAAAATAAGAAAAATTCTTACCAATTGCTGCCTTTCCCCATATTTCAACACTATATGTTTGTTGATCAAATATTTTTGAATCATTTGATTTTGGTTTGTGATATTGTTTACCAAAATCCAAACTATGATTATTCCACCATTTTACTGATGATCGGTCATTTACTAATGTATGTTGCTGTTCTCTTTCAAATTCTTCCCCCCAAGGATTCCATTCTTCTTCTTCTATAATTTAAAATTATCTTAAATATAATTTTTCAATAGGCTTATATTAACAATTATTTTTTACAAAGGTTTAAAACTGATTTTCAATTCAATAAATCATCCCTTTTCATTTAAAGTTATATCAAAAATGCATAATCTAATATTACTAAATCATTAAATTTTAATTTTTTATAAAATTCCTACTTATAAAGTTAAGATTAGTAGATATTAACAGTTATAAATGAAAAACTTAAAAAAAAAAATTGATTTTAGATAGCTAAGATCCCATTATGGTTTTGGCCAGGCCCACAATGAAGTGGCTGGGTGGTGAGGGATGGGGCCTGACAAATCCAGACAGACCACTCCCTGAAAAATTCCTGGGATATTTTGATGTCTCCAGAGTGTAGGCTGCCACCTTAACTGCTAACCATCCAACAATCAATCAATCAATCAATTTAGAATCATCTAGAAAAAAAATGTACCTGCAGCTGTTTGATCTTTTAAGATAATTTTTAAAAATATTTCTTTTATATTAGTGCTAATGTAACATTTATGTCTCTTTGTAATTTGTCTGTTTTTATATAAAATAGCCCAAGAGGTCATGAGATATGGCAGAGTCAATCTTTCTGAGTCTCATCTTTTTTAATCAATATACAATATATCCTTGCAATTATATCATTATCATAGAGATTTTTCTTTAACATCTTTTGCATATTGAGGTTGACAAGAGGCTCAACATAAAGCTTCATAATAGCCTTCTTCAGACTATTTTATCCAATTCTGAGGTGTCAAGTCTTTTCATAATTCAACCTTGTTTTATTTTAGTGTTTCTTCTGAATTTGGGAAATTTTTTACTATAGTTATCGTTCTGGTTTAATATTTTCTTTTATCAATATTCATTTTTTATTTACTTATGGATTATAAAGTAATACCATAGGCAAGAAGTATAAGTATATCCCCAATTAACAATACATGATCTCTTTAAATTACAGTCAATTCTAAACATTTACTTATATTTATTTATATAAGTAAAAAAAAATAAACTATATATAAATAAATTAAACTTTGAATTCTATACATTATTCACTTTCTAAATCATAGTTTTTATAACAATTTTTTTAATCGAAATTACTGAAGATGTATTATTTTTTGGCCAATAATAACCAAATTTTAAAAATGTATATTGAATTGTCTTTTATATAAAAAAACTTGCTGTTCTTCTTATACATATAATAGAGTAAATCAGAAGAAAAACAACACTATACATCCATTTACAAAATAATTTGATTTTTTCTTTTAGTAGAAAAACACATTTGGAAGTAAAAATAAAACTCTGATATGGTAAATTTTAAGTTATCTATCATTCAGTCTTGTTATTTTGTTATTTACTTTTGCTTATATTAGCAAATTCAAATAGAGTTTGATATAAAATAATTGTTATGCGTGTCATCAATTTTTAAAAATAAACTATTATTATTTTATGAAATTAAAAATTTTATATTTTTTATTTTTTCAAACTCAATATTTCATATTTTATTGAACATTAATTATATATGCTTCTATCTACACTATATATTATACTTATATTAGATATTATTATTATAACATATATAAATAATAACCTAAGTATGCAGCAAATACAAAAGTTTAACATATCATGTAAGCATTGATCATCCTATAAAGGTAACCTGATACATGACAAATATTCTTTCTACTTTATTTAATATAATTATTGCAGAATGAAACAAATTATATTTGTTATTTGTAGTCATAAAGTAATATGATACAAACATACAGTAAAAATATAACCACTGTAATGTAATTGTAAATCTAATGATATTATATCTGTTGATAAATGTTAAAAATTAATTTAGATTTGCATGTTACAATATCATTTGATACTGTTGAGTCTATTAGCAAAATGGAAAATTTAATTACACATAATAAGATAGTTAAAACATTTCCACAGACAAAGATATGATGTTTGGATTTATAAGTTTTAATAATCTAAAAATATAAAGTTTTGTAATTGGTAATATGTTTTAAGTATGGTACATATTAATCTCAATTCATTTTTATTAGGTTAACCATATTTACAATTCAACTAGGTTCAGAATCAGTGAAAATGGTGCCCTTTAAAATTTATTTTATCTATTTATTGATCTATAAATTTACGATATTATATTGACGTGTTTCTATTCAAAGATTGATTCTACAATCAAATATTAAAAACAGGAAAAAATTAGGATCATCATCTTGTCACTCCCATTTTTATTAAAATTTTCAGATCAGTTTCCTTTTCAAAACAAAAGTTTGTTTATACGTTGTGGGGGAAATTAGTTCTTTCAGTTCACTGCATTTACTTTGAAAATTTTTGAAAAATGAATAAAAAAAAATCAAAGACATTCAGAAAGTATCACATTTCAAGAGTGATAAAATAACATTGATATAAATCTAGCATATAGCAATATATATTCTGTTTAATCAAATGTATTATCTAACTGTGGCAACAGAATACATTGGCTGCATTCAGCAGATCAACAGTTGTAACTGAACAAATCAGTAGCTGTTACATAGCATCCTGAATCTGCTAAATGATAAACAACATTGCATTAGAAGAAAAAGTCTCATTAGTCAGTTTCAGCTAGTGATAGGTAGTGTAAATGAAAGACACTACCAAATATGACGTCCAAACACATTCCAAAAGTGCACTACTGTTTACTGTAGAGGGCATTCAGCAGAAAAATACTCAACAGCTCCACAACTGTTGAGTCTGCTGAATGCAGCCATTAATAAATTCACAAATATGTCTCAAGTGGAAGGAGACCAGTTTTAAGAAGAAAATTAGAAGAGAAGTATATATTAATCTCAATAATTTCAGTGTTCCTTAGACTTTTTTGTTCCTATTGGTACGGCCTACAGCTCTAGTAAGGTCACTCATTGAGAAGTGTAATTAATGTTACCACCTGTCTGGTTTTCATCCAGACAGTCTGGGAATTGACTCACTGTCTGGGTGAACTATTAATTTTGTCCGGGAATTTCGTAGAAATTGTGAAATTATGATGAAACAAAGTTCTTGCAAATATTTTTACAAATTTACACTATTTTAACATCGAAAGAACTCACACTCACTGAAACTCATCTACAATTCTGCCATGTTCATCTGTTTCAGTGATGCCATCCCTTGGTTTTTAAACCAATATCTTGGTTTTTTGTCATTGTTCTTGGTTTCTAGGATTTTTCCCTCAAAAGTCAAGGAAATCTTGGTTTTTTATAACTTTTCATGAAAATGAATTTTTAAATAGTAAGAAAAATGCTTTGAAATCATATTTAACACATAAATATACCTATTCAACAAAATCAAAGCCCAGAGTGCACTGCCTGATGTTTAGACTTTCTCATGTCTTACTCTGGCAAGTGGCAGCAGGCAGTAGACAGTCGTGGTGCTTTTGTTCTGTGTGTAAATCTTGTTTTTGACATCACAACGAAAGTTCCAGATATGACTACCTTTTGCTACTTTTCTAGATAATAAATGAATATTTTTAGACTTATTTTTTTATTGTGTTCGCATAAAATTATATCTTTTACATATTTTATTTTGGAGAAGAAAGCAGATAAATCTCAGATAGGCTCAAGGGCCCAGATTCTTGGTTATGTGGAATATAGTTTTGTATTAGACTACTTTTTGACTAGATTTTAGTCTGTATAATCAGAGCAATTCTGCTGACGACTCAGTCACATGTTTAGTTTCAACATCTAAATAAGTGTTCAATCCATGTGGTCGGTGCAAGTTCCAACTAAATTGTGAATAAAGTGATTTTCTCTGTTTTTTTTAAATCTATTTCTTTATTATTAAAATCCCTATAATGAGTGAAGAATCTCCTAGAAAAAAAAATAAAGACTTGGTATGCCCAATCATTCAAAAAGGAATGGTTGCAACTTGAAGAATTTAAAGGATGGTTAAAAAGAGATGAAAAGAATAATAGCAAAAAGCTACTGCAGTTGTTGCTCAGTAACTCTAAAAAATGCAAGTAAGTCTATGCTATTAGCACACAAAAATACTGAAAAACAGAAGAAAAATTTTCAAGCTGCTAAATCAAAAGTAAATATTAAAAGTTTTGTACAAAAAAAGATAACTTCCGAGGAAAACGAAGTTACTGTTGCAGAATTATTATTTGCAGGAAATTTTTCCGAGCATCAAATACCATTTTCACAAGTAAAAAACTTATTTGAAATTTGCCAAAGAGCCTTTTCTGATAGTGAAATCGCTAAAAAGGTGAGTTACAAAGAGACAAAACTTTCCTATATCATTCAAGATGGTATTGCATATTATGAAAAAATAGAATTAGATGAGATATGTCGTAATCAAAAATTTTCTATTATAATTGACGAAAGTACTGATGTATCTACTACACAAGTTCTAGCTATTGTCATACGATACTTTGATTTGAAAAAGTTGGATATAACTGATGCTCTTCTTGATACAATTGTAGTAGAAAATGAAAGTGCACAATGTTTATTTGATTCATTTACACATCTATTTGAGGAAAAAGATATCCCAATGAGCAACATCATAGATTTTGCTAGCGATAATTGTTCTATGATGCTTAGTACAAAAAATGGATTCCAAAAACTGTTGAAAGATGTCTTACCAAACATTTTCATGCTTGGATGTGTTTGTCATTCATTTTCATTATGTGCAAGCCATGCAGTGTCAGTGTTGCCATCATACTTAGAAACATTTCTGCAAGATGTTACGTCCTATTTCAGCCGAAGTAGCAAGCGTCAAAATGACTTTGCCTCAATTCAAGATGTTTTTCAAATTGCAAAACATAAAATTCCAAAGTTGGCCCAAACATGATGGCTTTCTAGAGAACAAGTAATTTCCAGAATTTTGGAACAATGGGAAGCTCTGATCCTATACTTTCAATCTGAATCTAAAACTGACAAAGTTGACGATGCATGTAGAATATACAAGACACTTGTCAACACTGGGACAAAGCATATGCTCTGCTTCCTCCATTATGTCTTGGGCAAAGTTAACAATCTCAATTTAGAATTTCAATCTGGATACTTCAGGTTGCATAAATTGCATTCAATGGTGTCATTAAAGTATAAGAATATCTTGAGTTTTTTTCATTAAAGAAGAATATTTATTGCAAATGACATTAGTGACTATTGATCCCAGAGAAAAAAATTTCACAAACAGATAGAAGATTTGTATCTCAGCAGAAGAACAATGGTCCTTCTAGAGAAAGACCCAAATTAATGATCCCAAATGTGCCCTCAGACTTAAAAATGACTGCTTGCAATTTTTGATAGAATTGTATGTTCAAATTAAGCAGTAATTTTCTTTCGATGAAAATGGTGTAATAGCAAAGTTGAAAACTTTAGATCTGAAAATTGTTTTTAGCCAAAATTGCTATATGTCTATCTCAAGTCTAGCTTCTAATTTAAAATCACTCGTGCCTGAGAACAAGTTGGATGAACTGAAAGACGAGTTTAGAAGATTTTGATTGTCCAAAGAACAATTGAGTTTTAGTGACGATATGCAAATACCAGAATTCTGGTATTCTTTGCAGGAAGTAAAGGATGGCCTAAATCAGCCTAAATATTTAAACTTGTCAAACTTCATGCCAAACATGACTGTATTGCCCCATTCGTCTGCCTGTGTGGAGAGAATTTTTTCCCAAGTGAATAGCACAAAAACAAAGTTTACTAATAAATTAAATGCATCAACAACAAGAGATAGAATATTAGCAAAACAACATCTAACAAAAAACAGCAATTCATGCATTACTTGGCAACCAAGAAAAGAATTAATAAAAGAGTTGCAAGATGAGATGGTATATAAGAGAGATACTGAGCGACTAAAAAGAGCAAAAGAAAAAGAAAAGATAACAATTTATGAGTGCAACAATGATGATTAAATTAAACTGTTTTATCATAAATATTATTTATTTTGTATAATATTATTGCAAGCTTAAACAAGTATATACAATCTTTGCACCAAAAGCAAATACATTCCTATTCTAGACCAGCTTGGTATTTTTACAAGACCTTGATCTTTTTTAGAGCGCCAATCTTGGTTTTTTACAAAATTCCTAATGGCATCCCTGGTCTGTATACAGTGATGTGTGGCGCGCAACCTGTCGACTTTTTGTTTTGCATATACAATCGTGCACATCTATGGGCTAAGTTATCTAGAATGTTATTCTTTGCATTGTAAAATGAAATTGCACATGCATCAGGAACTTCTGTTCGAACAAACCTGACCTACCGTCCGGGTCAGCGATTTTGAAAAGGTGTCAAAACTAAGTGTAATTGTATCATAATTTCATTATCATTCATAAAATGTTGTCTTATTACTCTTGTATTAAAGTTATTAAAAGCTGTCATTTGATGATTTAAAGTCTCCCCTTAAAAATAATAAGAGCATTTACCTTATAAATTCATTTTTAAATCAAATATATTTAAAGATATTCTTCATCTTTTCAAAGATTTGAATTTAAATAATACTCTCTTTTGATTGGTAGAAGTTACTTTTACGTCAATGCACACGTATTTACATATGGAGCATTTAACTAAAAGTAACATCTACCGTTTAATTAATTCAAAAAAATATATATTTACCTGATATAGAAAATATATGTTTTGGTGGTTTCCTAGTCTTAGTTGGATTCTTTCTTAAAAGTATATAAGCAGTGTAACAAGTTAATAAAAAGTAAACTACCACAACAAAAATAGTTACTCTTTTTAACGTCAACCGCATCCCGCCATCTTTAAAAATTATTCCGATTAAACCTTTATCCCTCCGGCGATGGTTTATACGATACGATACTATTGGATGTTTATAGGATAAGGTTTAATAGCTATCCAATCAAATCGATGAAACGAAAAGTTATTTGTTGACGTTAAACGCGTCGATAGATGGAGCTATTAAAAATTTGAATTTTGTCTATGGAAGGTTTTATTTTTTTGTTTTTGTTTTTCCTTTCGTTTTTAAATTATCTTTAAAATCGAAACTTTATAAAATTTCTTATCTCCATTTTTAATAGTGTTTATGAGTGTGTTTGCTTTTATGTTTTATATTGGAAATTGATTATTATTTATTTTTGTAAAAATGGCGGATGCTGAGGAAAACGTGTATGAAGCGCACGTGAGTTGTTGGAAGGATCCGGCCGGTGTGTGTACCATAGAAGCTACTGTTGTCACTGGCTTCGAAACGGTTGCCAAAGAGGAATGCGAAGAAAAACTCACTTGTTCAGCCAAAATTGAGAGAGGAAGAATATTTTTTGATATTCCATTTAGCAGAGTTTCAGAGGTAGCATTAATTATAAATCTCCATATTTTAAGACGTTTAAACTGACTGTAACTTTTTATAATGTCAAAATTTAAACACAATTACTTAAAAATATAATTCTTAATTAAAATCCTTTAAATCCAGCATTTTTTGCCTATTTAGCTATTGACAAGTTTAAATCATATGTGATTACAGAAAGAAAAAAAAAGAATTTAGAACGTTGGTTCTAAATTATTCAAACATAGCAAATATTCTGGGGCTCCTATTGCCGACTGCTTCCACTGTGAGCCAAACTCTCTGCATAATTGGTACATTGGAGCTGGTTTAGGCAAGCCATCTTCACAAGAAGTGGGAAAAGATGATCCCATTCTCTATAACATGTTTGTATTCTTATAACAAGTTACCTCACTCACAATGATGGGAAAAATTATTCTACAACACCCCTTCTGGGAGTCAACCACCCGAGGCATGTCAGTCTTTAGAAGATAATGTGGGCTCCATGTTTCAGTTCCATATTTTTTATAAAATGCTCATTATTGAGCTTGCCATCCTTTCACAATTGCCACATTAGTCAAGCTCTTAATGAAAGAAAACTCAGTTGTTGACTACTAGGTGAACAGCCCTGTGATTAATTTTTTTTTTGATAATGTAAACAAAGGTCTAATAAAAAATTTTTTCCCATGACAAGTAAAGAACAAACTTTATTTTCATATATAAATTTTTCTTTTCACATTACTATTCATTGTAATAAAGAAATATCAGTCCAAAACAGCTTTAAATGGTCAAGTACTAGTGCTATTTCCCTATATTAAAATAAGTTACATGGTATAGTACTAGCATTGAAATTAAACAAATAATAGTAACAATAAAAATTATAACAACATTAAAAAGCAACAAAATCTAAATTACAAAAATATGAAGATGTAGGCTAGTTTATAAGCATCAATTAAAATTATGTAATAATACAGAAATTCATTGGACAGTTTCATACAGTGGTTTATGTAACCTCAGTTATAAATCTGTAGAACTTGCAAAAATTTTGCTATAACTGGACTAGGCAAAACATTTGTAGGCAAAAGCTTTGTTACTCTAAGTGCCAAAATATACAAATAGATCATTTTAGTGCAAAAGACTGTGCACTAAGACTAATGCATTGTTATATGATTTAAGTGCAAACTCCTTTTGTTTTTATTTTAATAATCATCATCAGATGGGGCTAATGATGATCAGAGCTATGTTCACTAGTTTATCCTAAACTAGTTTACAGCACTTAACTAGAGTTACACTTATAAGATGTAAGTGATTTTTAGATAAAAAGCATTATGGCTATGAATGAGAAAAGATCTTGGTTGGGTTTTCTTCAAAAAGTGTTTCAGCAACTTAATAGAATGGGAGAAATGCTATGTGTTCAACAAGAGAATAACTCTCCAAGATATCAAGTCAGTAGAGTTATACTTAGGTATACAGCCAGCAATTGACAACAAGAAAGACATTTGTGCTATGCTGAAACTTATAGATGAAGAGAACAGATTTTTTTTCAATGCCACTTTAAGTGAATAATGATTGTGGACTTAAATCTTTCATTTTGTACTATGTAGTTTGTCTTGTTTTTGTCTGTTTCTTTTGTATTTAAACAAAAAAAACTAAACAGTTGCTTTACATGTTTCTGGAGAGCTTCATGCTTACAGATATAAACATTTGCTCTATTTGCTGTGGACAAACAATTTTTTCCCTTTCCCCAGAAAATATGTTTTGGTACTTAGCTTTGCCAGTCTAAACTTGTTTATCCAAACTTAAATTCTGGATTAAGTTTTTTGATTTTTGCATTATTTTATCCACTTTAATAATGCATTATAATTCTTAAATTAAATTTGTCATTTTCAGGCCTTAACATTACGTTCAGTTGACAATGTTTATGTGTTGATGACTGAACTAAAAGAATTTGAATTTCCTGATGAGAAAGAACAAGTGTTTGACAAGTTAAAGAAATTAATATGTGAAATTGATTGGCCTACTGGATTAAATGTGTGGAAAAAAATTTCAAAGTATGAAAACAGAAGTTTAGAAGAATTGTTTCAGTGTAAATTGACACCAGAAGTGTCAGAACAAGGTGACGAAAAGAGTTTAAATATTCCAAAATTTCGAGTGACTTGTAACAGAAGTGGTAAAAATCATTGTTTCACGTCTATGGAAGCTGCAGCTGAATTTGGAGGTGCCATTAATGATCTGTTTCATTGGAAAGTAGCCATGAAAAATTATGATATTGAAGTAGTTTTAACTATTAGTGAAACAAAGCTTTACGTTGGTATAGCTCTTACTAAAGAAAGCCTTCATTGTCGTAATTTGGAACATTTCGGCCCTACTTCTCTGAGAGCAACAATTGCTTATAATTTACTCAGGTATAATTTAATAACTTTGTATTTTTATTTTCATTTTATATTTCTTGATGTATTAATTGTTTTAATGATGACAAAAATAAATTTTAAAATTATATTGAATAATATTAAACTGTAGAAAAGAAAATTTATATCTGAAATAATGAACAAACCCCATTTGGTAATAGAAGTTAGCTATTACTTGAAATTTGTTATATTTTGTAAATATTGTAACATATTAGTTTACAAAAATTACATAAAATAATGTTAATGAAACAGTTTTTTCTAATGTGATTTCAGTTGTTATTACTTTATTTTTCAAAGATCAATAGTCCATATAAACAAAATATCAATCAAAGTTGAACATTCTTATCTAAAAAATATAATTGCTAGGCTCCAGTAATCTAATTGACTTATTCCACTAAGCATATTTCCAATGTTTTTTCATACATTTAACAGGAGAAAATTCATAGATTGAAAAAAAAAAAAAAATGCTGTCAAACTGAAAAAGTCTTTCTTCCATTAATATAACAGTATCTGGATATAAATAATCATATAATTAGATTTCTATTATTCAAGACAGTTAAAATAAAACAAACTTCATGCATTACTGAGAACATTTTATAATAGAATTGTGCTTTTAGTCTTACTCTTCAGAGTAAGAATAAAAATATTTGAATATAGAACAAATGTACAAATTTTTGAACATTTATGTTAATATATTGAATTTACATATAAAAATTTAAAAAAAAGTAAATGAATATAGAAAGGAAATCAAAATTTACTTTTATAAAACAATCTTATTATAGTGTTATTTATTTAATCAACAATTAAGTTGTAGCTTTTTCTAAGAGCAAAACTAATTTTTTTTTTTGTAATTAACACCTTTTTTATTATTAATTTCTAACAATTTAACAAAATTTAAGAAAGTAAATCATAAGAGGGCTTGGGAAAACATTTCTACAGTTTTCTTTCTTGTGCTTTTTGATAAACTGAAAACACTTAATAAATGTTTTCAGTTTATCATCAGTACGAGTTTAAGTCCATTACAACACTTCGTTATTAAGGAACTATGTTTATTTTACTTAGTATACATAATATTTTTATTAGAAATATTAAAATTAAAAAATGTATATAATATATTTATTATGNAATTCTACCATTGAAAACTTTTTTTTATTAAATGTCACCCAAAATAAACTGTGCTAATGTCAGTATGATCAAATACAGTCGACCCCCCTATAACATGGGTTCCTATAGTTCAGATTCCTATATCATGGCAAAAAAATTGTGACAGTATTTGTACAAACATGCTGAAAAAACTCGCATAATTCAGTAAAACATCATCGCCGACTCGTGTCACGACAGGATTGGTCGAATCTAGACCAATAGTGGATATTGCAAAAACCGTTGAGTTTAAACGAGCAGTGGACCTACTAAAAACCAATTATTATTTAACATCCATAAAAAGTACATTTATATTAATGATGTCTCCAAAGTTCAGCGAATTTTTCGCAAAAAAAAATAATTTATCAGGAAGCACGCGAGTGCCATTCGATGACAAGCTCCACGATGAAAACAAGCTTAAGCAATGGCGTAGTCAAACAATGCATGCTCGGTAAGTAATCCTACAATTTTTTGTTTATATGGATTATTCTCAAAAAATTGTATGTATTTTGGAAATGTTGAGTTGAATTAGTCTAGAATCGATTAATTTTATGGAAGAAACCTTTCAAACAGTCATACTCCGTAAACTCCACACGTGCCGGGCTGTGATTGGCTGGACTCGTAGAAAATGGATTCATAAAAACCGAAACGTATCTACCGTGTTATAGGGAGGGTCGACTATATATTTCTGTTAACTGATGAAATTTTTTCATGGATTAGCAGTTGAAAAACACTGGTCTAGACAATTCATCTTTCATCTAAGATTGCATACCACTTATTAAAATATTTCATCTAAATTCACATAATATCGTCAACTTGTCTTAAAATGAGCATCAAAAAAACAAATTTTGCCACTGTCACAACATTAATTTTCATGTGATAAAATGAACAAAAATTTTACCAGAATTCATTAAACCAAACTGTAAATTACCTTTATAACCCCCAAGAAATAACCCTATTTTCAATAACAATTTTATTATTTATGTTGAAAAGTGTAAAAACAAAAAATGGTACTATAATAAATGTTCTAATTTGAGTAGAATAGATTTTCTTATCCAAGTAAGCAAAGACGGGTTTGGCCTTTGATTGTAGAGCAATTCAAACATCTGGTTTTAGTGGACCATTCTACTGTACTCAGAAAATAGGTGTTACAGTTTAATGACTCTTATCCATTTAAATAAATGGGTCCCATGCAAGAGGGTGCTACTTTGCATATTAGAGGTGCATACAGTGATGCATGTTTGACTATTCTGCCAATTCTTGCATCACTGTATGCACCCACAATATGCAAATAAAATAAAATAAAATACCAAATTTGCCTCCTCTTTATTACTCTTTTGGTGCCAAAAAATATTTCCTACTTTCCAAACAATCTTCAGCAGAAAAAAATCACAGATTTCTTCTAGCTTTGTTTTTGTCTGATATACTGCTCCACACTTAAATGGAAAATACTGTTTCTCCTCATTTTGATTGATTTGAAAATCATTTACATCATTAATTTGTTTTTTTAAATAAATTTAATTTATCTTTATTGAATAAATTGCATGGAATTATTGAAAAATAACTTTACAAGGCCCACAGTTTAAAAATCAAACCATTGTTTTTTTCCTGTCCTGTAGATACTAATGGGATCTTTTATTCATGCCTGTTATAGGCTGGACAGGCTCATAATGGAGACAGTAATATGGTGAGAGAGACAGCTTAACATATCTGGGATGATTGCCCATGAAAAATTCTTGAGGATGCTTGTTAGATTCAATCTTGGGTCCCCTAGAGTACTAGGCTGATACCTTAACTGTCTTGGCCACCCAGCTGTTCAAATCAAAACAGTCAAGTATAACTTCAGTGTAAAATAATAATGACTCAGGTTGGCAATATTAATAGTAACAGTGATGCACGAGTGCAGGGCAGTTATGCTGTAGCATTTCCAAATGTTGACAAGATTAGAAAAGTGGTATCAAAATGTCATCAATTATTTGGTTTTTGTGGACCAAAAACATCCATATGCTAAAACTTGTAAGATACCATTTGAAGAAAATATTCTGGATTTTTTAATCAGATTTATTTTTTTTTATGCAGTTTTGTTTTGCATTATTTTGTATTTGTGTATTACAGTCTGGCATTGTTAATGCCAGACTGTATACACAAACTGTGGAATTTCTGCAGATGTTCTTTGTCATCCTCTGTACCATAAGACCTTGCTTTTTCTGTCCTGAGAATTCTGATAGCTAATTTAGTGGATTATGATAAAATACTATTATAATATAGCTTTGTTTATGGTAAAGAAGATTAATTTAGTATTTTATTCTAAAAAATTTTGTTTTATTCAATGATTTCAATTATTCATACATATATAGTTGTAATATTATAAAAATCCGAACCATCCAATTAAGTTATACAGTGGTACCTCAAGATACGAAATTAATCCGTTCCAAAACTGAGATTGTATCATGAAAATGTCGTAAGGTGAGTCATTTTTCCCCATACGATTACATGTAAAACCAAATAATTCATTCCAACATGAAAAACACACTCAAATTAAAGCTAAGTAGTACATTAAAAAAATTTAACTATAGTAAGGAAAACACTGGAAAATGCATTTTGTAGTTGTAAATGTATAAATAACCATAATAGAATAATAATTGATTAAAAAAAAATGTAGTTTTATTTGAACTTTACCTTTGAGGATAGATGACAGTGGAGGTGTAAACTGGTGGCAGAAGAGAGGGAGAAGGGAAATGATACTAAAACTTAACGTACATAACATAATGTAACAATAACTTAAAAATAACTTAAAAAAAATGTAGTTTTATTTGAACTTTACCTTTGAGGATAGATGACAGTGGAGGTGTAAACTGGTGGCAGAAGAAAGGGAGAAGGGAAATGATACTAAAACTTAACGTACATAACATAATGTAACAATAACTTAAAAATAACTTAGAAAAGATAAAAAAAAAATTAGTGTNTATTCAATTATATATTGACCATTTTGGTCCAATACCTTTTGCCATCTTTCTGGTAGTAGCATGATTCCATGCTCATAAAATTTCTGATCTTTGCTTGCAAAAAACTGATTCAAGTGATTTTTGACATCCTCATTTGAAGTAAATGTTTTACCATTTAAAAAATTTTGTAAAGATAATCCGAGTAATAATCCGAGGATGCCAGATCTGGTGAATATGGTGGGTGTGATAACACATCCCATCCAAGCTGTAACAACTTCTGATGAGTTAGCAAACTTGTGTGAGGTCTAGCATTATCATGATGAAACACTACACCTTTCCTGTTGATCAGTTTTGGTCTTTTCTGTTTGATAACATCACTCAATTTGTCCAGTTGATGGCAGTAGACATTCGAATCAATTGTGGAATTGTTTCGTAGAAGCTCAAAAAAAAAAAAAAAACAATTCCCTTAAAATCCCACCAAACAGAGAGCATCACTTTTTTTTTATGAATATCAGTTTTTGAAGTGCTTTGAGCTGGCTCATCTTTTCTATTCCATGATCGCTTGCATTCGACATTGTTGTATACAATCCATTTCTCGTCACCAGTTATGATTCGCTTCAAAAATGGATCATTTTCTTGACGTTTGAGAAGCAAATCATAGATGTTAATGCGATTGAGCAAATCTCTTTCTTTAAGAACACGTGGAACCCATATATCAAGCTTTGAAACAAAACCAAGTTGTTTCAAGTGGTCATAAACAGTTGAATTGGACAAATTTAATCTGTTAGCGATTTCTCTTGTTGTTATTCGGCGGTTTGCTTCAATCAATGCCTTTATTTCATTTTCATCAGCTTCAATTGGCCTTCCAGAACATGGTGCATCTTCAATATCGAAATTACCAGTACAAAATTTTGCAAACCACTTTTGGCACTGTCGTTCTGTCAATACATCTTCTCCGTACATGTCACACAATTTTTTTCTTGCTTGAACAGCATTCTTACCTTTTCAGTAATAAAAGAGCGGAATATGCCAAAAATGCTGCTTCCGATCTTCCATATTTGATGGGACACAAAAAATAAACAATTGCACAAAATCAAACAAAATTTTTTACAAATAAGCCTTAAAATGCTAGCTGTCAAAATATATAACGGTAATACGGTCTAGAATGAAAATGGCAGGAAAAATATGACTAATCCCTCTAGTGGTAAAAAAAAACGAACTTACTTTCCGAACAACCTAATATATATAAATGATCAAACATCAAAGATTCTTACCCTCTCATTTCTACTTTCTTTACACTAATTGCTCTCCACTCAAAATTCATTTGGTTACTTTCCACAGCTTCTACGTCGACAAGATCACCTCGTTTTGGAATAAAATCATTCAGACAGACATCTTTGGTAAAAAATATCTACAAAATGAAAAGTATTCACATAAATAAATAAATCTCTTCTCAAATAATATCTCATTTAAAATAATTACCTTATGGTCGATGATTCCACAACCGCTGCGTATCAGCCTAGTAATTTTACCCTCTGATATTTCCAATTTTCTTAGAGGATGAATATTATATTTTTCGTCATCTACTAATTCTATTTTAATCCAATCACCTTGCTTTGCTGAATATTCTTTGGTTATTTTCTGTTAGAAATTTAATATAAGTAAACCTTAACTGTACAATTTCACACAGAAAAATGTTTGTGAAAATGCACATATTTTAGCAAATTTAAAACAATTTTTCCTTAGTCACACAATATTTTAATGTATTTTTAGTTAGACGATTTAGTTCTTAATCTTAATCACTATTACAGATAACATCAAATAATAATGGTAAAACAAATAATTCTATTCTGATATTAATACCTTTATCTATCAATAATATTCAATTCTTTTTGATTTCTTGTAGACTTAATCATCTCTCACTACAAAGACATCTGCTTTATATTTTCACTCTAATACAGTGATTCTCAAAGCACGGTCCATAGACCACTAGTGAGTTGCAAATATGCACTAAGTGGTTTACAGAAAAACCTATTCGATTAGAATTCTATGCTATTTAGCTACAGAAATGAATGCTTTCATGCATCACACATTTCAAATATTAGATTACCAAATAGATAAATTATTCTGACATACATCTAATGTGATATTTACAAACTGAAAAGTGAATAAGAGCATAGATTGTCCCCAGATCCTATATGACTCAGTTTAAATGGTCTGCAGATCAAATAACTTTGAGAACCAATCTCTACCACATTGCTCTTGTTAAACTCTTTCTATTCAAGATAAAAAATGCTCTTTTACTTGTACTTACCAGTGACCAACTTCATAATAAGGCAACTTAGTGATACAGAATGGGGCCTAATATATCTGAGTCAAATCACCAATAAAAATTTCTGAAGACCATAGGATGCCAATTCCCCAAAAAACAAGCTAAAAGTTTACCACCTTAACCAACTGTCAGATGTATTTTCTTGATGCATCAGCCACCATTTGCAAATAGGTTTCTTTATTTAATAGATTTTAACTGAGAAGAAAATAATTTGAACTAATACAATGCAATATGAATAGAAAATACTCTGTTACTGTGATTTCTACTCATTCTAATGCAAATTAGCTCACATTCAACTCAATGACTAATCTAAGAGACCTATAATATTCCATAATTGCAAGTTTATAGCCAATGAAGAATTAAACTGAAGGACATAATAAAATGACAGTTTTAAATATAAAATATATTAGCATTAAAACATGTAGAGAAAGGCAAGTAAAATAAAAGCAATAGCACAGTAATGTATAAGGATAAATGAATGACAAAGTTTTAAGCAAAAAGATTACCACAAATTGAATTAATTACCTTATTTCAGTACAGAAATATTTTCTTTTAAATGCAATAGCAACTAACAAATGTTCAAATCTCTTAATTAATTATGTTTTGAGACTGAATATAGACTACATATTCTATCAGCTCATTGTTAAGTGTAATAATATATTTACTAGTATACTTTTTATACTTAATGAACATAATAATATATTAAGTATATTATTATCATATTTACTTGAATGTAAGATGCCATCTAAACTAAGGTGCATCTTAATTTCTACATGGTCACCCATGGGATTTTTTCTTTTGAAAAAATAGACAATTTGAGATAAATTTAAATCAACAGAACTGATTCTTTTGACATAAATTTGTTCATTGTTTATTATACAGTAAAGTATATTATATATCACCATCTTCTGTGATATCAAAGCCAGAAACGACTTCATTTTCCTTGTTAGGTTCTGAATCTTCATTGGATTTAAAGCTCGCGTTTCACAATCATCCTCAGTGCTCTTTAAAGCATAAAAAATGCAAAACCTCTTGAAAGAATACTGCATAACTTTTTCTGGGATTTTCATCCAAGTACTTATAATGTCACACTAATAGACTAACAATACAAAGCTAAGATTACCTCTTAAATACTTGCTATTAGTAATATTGGTCTAATAAAATCATTATAACAATGCAATGGAATTAATTCTAGTTCTAGTGACAGAGAAATAAGACCCATGGCATTACAAGTCACTAATTATGATATATTATATTAATCTAACCAGGGATGGCATAATGTCAGGGTCAATGAGGATATAGTGCTTCCTCAACAACTGATATGTGCCAAGCAGTAAGGTGCGACACTCAAAATTAAGAGAGAAAATTAAAGTTGAAAATTGTGATAGTGCAATTTTTAACTTTAACACAATCCCTCAAAGCCTTTAGAATACCTTTATGTACAGAGTGGATAGTCTCTTCATAATGAGTATATTGATGTTTAAATTCTCATTGGTATTAACATAATTTTTGTTTTAAAATAAAATTATAATTTCTACTTTATTCTTGGTAGTTTTAAATTTATTATATTTATTTAAAAATTATTTTTGAATATTCATGTACTTATGGGATTCATACATATTTACTATATTTAGAATTTATTTGGGAAGACAATAAAATATAAACAAAATTACTGCTATTCAAAACCAATTTTGTTAATAAAAAAAAAAAACATTTTTAGTAACATTATTCAATCTGTTTACTCTTTGGGATCATAATTTTGTGAATGATAGTTGTCTTATAATCATATGAAACAAACATTTCTGTAGTGTGTATATTGAACAAATGCAGCATTTTTACAATAAGATGATTTACACATGTTACAGGAAAAACAAACTTGATTACATTTAAAAACTCTTCTCTGTCAACTAATCTGAAGAAGAATCACACATACTACATCACATTTGAAAATATTGGAGGACTTTATGTCTTCTCCTTTCACCTTTGAAACTTTTGAAATTGATGAAGAACCCTTGATTGCAATTAGATCTTAATTTTGAAGGATACTTTCACAATACATAAAAAGATCCTTTATCAATATCAATGTTAGAATGAGATATTGAAGACATCATTTCATTCTTTATAAAACAAAGACACAATTATAGACACCTTTAGATTAAACAATGACTTTGTTGCCAGAGTAAGTACACACTGTGCTGTACACGAATATACAGAAAACATTTTATTTTGTTTTTAAATAAATATTGTTAGGCAGTATTTTAATTGTTTGATGTTGACTAGTTACTTGCAACAGGCCAATTTTATTGTTTTTACCCTGTTTATTGTAAATTTGTAATTTTCTAAACATAAATCAAGCTTTTTTTCTCTGACAATATAATTAGTTTATTCTTGATATTTTTTAAGTTAAAATTATAGTAAAAAAAATATATATAAGAAATAAATTAATACCAACGAGAATCAAAACACCAACCTCATGATTATGCAGTTGGTATGCCAAGCCATCAGTCACTCAGATATTCTAAGAACTTTAAGTGATTGTGCAAATTTCAACTTTAACTTTTAATTTTGAGTGTTGCACCTTACTACTTGGCACGTGTCAGTTTTGGGATGCACTATATCCTAACCAAGTTTGATCAAAATCAGTATCACCAACATCATGCTGCCTTGTCATAAGACACACACTGTTTTCAGAGATGCTAGAGAGGTTGTGGCTGACGTTTTTATCACAAAAACATGAACGTCCGACATTCATTTTCGCAATAAAAATGTCAGCCGCAACCTCTCTATTAATACCTGTTTAAATGAGTCTTACATTTTAACATCAAGTAAATACAATATATTTTTTTTTCAATAGTTATGGCTTTTGGATGACCTCATATATCACAAATTTTAATTGATAAATCTTAAAGTTGATTATGTTATATATTTAATGAAATATAAATATTTTTTATATGCTATCCATACAGAACACTACAAATATATGAAAAAAACTTACATTAGCAGATACTTCAAGAATATGGTTAAATATTAATTTATCTTTATTCATATAAGTAATATTAGTAGTGACAGCTTTTTTTTCTTTCAATTCAGTTTCCAAAGACTTTATTTTGGATGTTGAACCAGTTTTCTCGCTGATTCCAGATTCCCAACATTCGGTAGACAGAAACACGGACACTGCAACCCAATTCTGATCTTTGCTGTATCTTACTGAAGTACCAGTGACATAATCGCCTTTTTTCAATTGCATGTCTCCAATTACTACTTTAAAATCAAAATAAACATCCTTGTTTATTAAGCCATACTTCTCAATGTGATTAATTGATGTAATAGTTCCAAAAAATGTGTTTGTTTCCATATTTTCTTCTTCATATCTTACAGAAAAAAATTGTACATTTTATAACAAACAATTACTGTATAAATCATTATAATAAAGATGACACTTACATTTCATTATCTCCATACTTATATTTATCGAGAATATCTTCTTCATTTTCCGTATCAAAAGACTCTTCTTCATAATTTTCATCCGAACTTTTCCAAAGGAAAGATGCTATGTTTGATAATGCAGAGAACATCTTGTTAATCTATTTAAAAAACAAATAAAATTATATTTTTATATTCTTAGTTACATCAAGCAAAACAAAATTTAAAACTTTAATTTTAAATTTAAATTAATATAAAAATTTAAAATTAAAAGAATTAACAGATCTATCTTAGAAATTTTATGTCACTTAAATGTATACAATCAAATCTTTATTTAGCACCACTGTTTGTTTGCTTCTGAAATTTGAACTAAATTGTGTGTGATGCCAGACTGAAGTACCTTAAACAAGGAGAATTACAAATGGTAACAAAGTCCACATACAAGTTTGAGTTTGAACCTTGTGATTTGAAGATAACAATTTTGTTTGTGATATAGTATTGTTCATTTAGTAATTCACACATTAAAGTATCAATATATAATAAGTCAAACTCATTATGTATTTGAATTCACACTAGGAGTGATGTTCTTTAGTATAAATACCAATATCCAAATCAAAAAATCCCAGTTTTACATATTTATCTTAAATATATCTAGAAATATTTGAAATACATTTTTGAAAAACTCAAAAATCAAGCTAGTGAAAACACAAAGTGTTTTTACTTTTTCAAAAACTGGTTGTATGAAATTGAAAACACACACAAATATACCTAAAACTAGTGAAAGAAATAAAAAAAATATTTACTGATAAGAACAATTTTAGAACAAGATTTCTAACAATCATCATCAGGTGTATCATAACAAATACCAAACAGAACAATGTTAAGCAATCAAACACATTTTAATATAAAGATTTGAAACAGNATCATCAGGTGTATCATAACAAATACCAAACAGAACAATGTTAAGCAATCAAACACATTTTAATATAAAGATTTGAAACAGTTTGAAGTATGCACATGCACATTGGTACAGCATTAGCAATTTAAACAGAAATTTAAAAATTACAACTTTAAACTTTAAATAACTGTAAGCAAGCAGTACAAAAATAAGTACATAAAATGGAAGTCTTAGGTAAGTTCATATTACATACTAATACAGTACTAACCAAATCCTCCTGAGTTTTTGAACCAATCATTAAGGTATCATTAAGTGAAGTACCTGATGAGGATTTTGTGCTGCCATCAAACACTACTCTCAACTTGGTTGTTAAACTTGATTCCTTTATTATGTAATGGTGAGGAATATAATAATGTTGATTTTCTAAATCTGTACAATTAGATAAGATTAACTTCATGTGTCCTAAAGACATTCCTGCATAAATTTTTGGTACTGATTGTAGATATTTGGCATTGTGGCAAGTCTCCTTTCTAAACTGTAAAGTCTACAAAGGGCAGTAACATGAGAATTGCCTAAAGCCTTTCTATTGAATTTAAAAGGTAAAGCAACATAGTATCATCTGTGATCATCTCTCCAAACATTTTTCCCAAACTGAATTTCACACCATCTTTCCTCAGTACTTAATAATTGAGATGAGGAATATTTTCAAGTTCCCAGACCTCACTAACCCATCCGTATTTAGACACAAATGATTCACCACAACTCTGTTGGGCTCATGGGATTCAAAGGTCACTTTGCCTGATATAATCCATCCCAATTTTGAACTCAATGCAAATGGACCTGAACCACGTTTGATTATATTTCCATTGATTAAAGAACAAAACACTGTATTTACTCATGTATAAGACGATCTCACTTATAGGAAAAGGTGTGACTTTAAAGATCAATATAAAGAAAATTAGATTTATTAATACAATTCTAATTTTATTTCATTTAATCACAAATAAAATAATATCAAATGCACATATTAAGACAAACAATCATGTTTTCTTGATATTACCTTTAGTCTACTCATACTCCCTCCTGAAGTTTAATTACAACTCTCCTCTTTTTTACTCTCGCTCCACAAAGTATCGTCTTTTGATCTGTTGAGTGAATTTGAAATGCAGTATTTCCTGAATGACTTTGCTATCAGCTCTTGAAGAATGCTTTTCCATGCACCTGATACCCATGTAGCAAAACCAAAAGATCATAATGCACATGACAGGAAAAAGTTTATTTTTAATCATTCGGAATGTGCAAATATTCATTAAAAATACAGTGGTACCTCGGTATATGTCTGCTTTAGAATATGTCCAATTCGGAATATGTCCTGTTTGGACAAAAAAATTTTGCTTGGTATACGACTTTTGTTCGGTATATGACTTACTTCAATTATACATGCCATCTATGAACAAGTAGCACTATCGATGTACTAGGTCAGACTAGATGTTCGCGGTGCAACAGTTTATAACTTTGTTAAATTTCTTCTGATTTTAATTTGTAAGTAAAGTTTTATTATTTTTATTAATCATGAATTGCAAAAAGGAAACAGAAAAATAAAAAATGACTAAAATTACAATGGAACTGAAAAAAGATTGTTGAGAAATATGAAGGTGACATGCATGTTCGAAATTTAACTGTTGCATACCATATTCTGATAACGACGATATTGACAATTGTGAAAAATAAAGACATTATTAAATTTGCTAACATTGCAAAAAGGGTTAAATCAATTTCTAAACATAGATCAAAGACATTAGATCATGTTGAGAAATTGCTTTTGCTTTGGATAACTGAAAAACAGTGTGCTGGTGACAGCGTATCGGAAGCAATTATTTGTGAGAAAGCTAAAAAGATACATGCTGATCTCATGAAAAATCAAGCAGGAACTAGCCAGGAAAGCAAAATGTTTAAAGCCAGCCATTTTTTTACATGAGAACGGATTAATCATTTTTACATTACTTCTTATGGGAAAGGTTGATTTGGTATACGTCCTATTCGGTATAAGTCCAAACGCCAGGAACAGATTAAGGTCGTATACCAAGGTTCCACTGTACCAATTTAACAAATATGAAAAAACTATATTTATAATCATTGGTAAGTGACCAGCTATTTTTGGACCATCTCTTTGAAAACAACATTCACCTTGACTTTGATAGCAACCTGCTATAATGGCAACATGAACCATACATGGCTCACAAAAATTATTGCAAAAATGCAAAGAATCCTTCACTTGCACATATAGGACAACCTAGGTTTTTGAAGCAGTGAAAAATGAATAATAACCTGGTATTATATGAGAGTAAATACGGTACATTCATGCCAAACAGGATGTCTATATTACTTGACATATAAAAGAAGGGATCGGCCAAAATAAGATTATTAAAATCATTGCAAATATCTGAATAGTAACAAGACATACAGAATTTTTTCTGTAACGCTTTCTGTCACAAAGGCAGAAGTAGAAGCTCGCAGTTCACTTTTAAAATGTGAAGTGAATATCAATTCAGCCTCTCCATTACTTACAGTGGTGAATGAACCTAGCCATAACACTAAAATTGTACTGCCCCTTCCATTTAATCCTAATTTCATCACATATTCTTTAGAAATAAATGATCTTTGACTTCCAGAGTCTAATAAACATCAATCATCTACCAATTGAAAACCTTAATATGAGCAGTACATAACAGAACTTGGTTGTTTATGTTTTATGTGGTTTACTTAGTGTTTATACGCCCTTCGTGATGCACTTAAGACCTCCGCGAGACAGGAACACAGACACTTACTCTGAATGCTTTATTCGGGATCCTACTTGTTGGACCAGACGATCTCCATTCTTGTACATTAGTCAGGGCCATCTGTCTTGCAAATCCCTCTCTCTCTGGTGTTGCCAGATCTTCCCATAACATGTTTCCTTTTTTTTAAATGACTAAATATATACACATTTACAAATTGAGTCAAGTTTGTAACTCCTTTTCTTTTGAGATTGCTACTTCTTCCTTTTCCTCAGTTTGTTCCTTTTCATTTTCTTGTTTCTCTTCACCTTTCTCTTGAGGTGCTTTTCTGGGGCTGTGATTCTGTATCAGATGCACTCGTTTCTTTGGTACTGTTGTCTGTGTGAGTCTTCTATTAAGTACAATCTGGGTTCATTTAGAGGTTTTACAACAGTTGCCGGAGACCATTCTTTTCCTGTATGCACTAAAACTCACATTGATGGTCTCAACAGATTGAGGGGAACACTACCTCTATCATCAGGGCCGTCTATCTTGTATGTCCCTCTCTCTCTGGTGTTGCCAGATCTTCCCGTAACAGTTTACATTTTTTTTTGACCTCTTTCACAATGTGAGGCACAAATTGAAATGGTTAACTTACAAATTGTCCCTTTTTTTCATCTCAGGAATAGTTATACTTGAATTTATGGATGGTAAGCTGGTTCGTGGGTTTGACTCGTTATCTACATTAGAGATGGAATTTCTTTCTCTTCCATAACACAAGACTGAGTTGTCTTCTTTTGCAGTTTAAATAAGAAACATTGACAGTGCAATTTCTCAAACTGTGATTTTTCAAATATATGTATTCTTCAACCAATATCCGGCGTGAAAATTCCAAACTAATATTGGCAAACGCTTTCGATGATTGTGATTGTGATTTTTCAACAAACAATTAAAACACAGACCTTTCTTTTTTGCTAACTTGATTCTGTCATGTACCTTAAGCTTCTGAAATTTTGCAAATTTGTACACAGAATGATCTCCCTTACAGAATGCACATTGTCCCTTCATTTGAGAAGTGAGAGATGTACCATTAGGCATGAATTTTTTATTAGTCTAAATTTTGGTTGGCTGTAAAGTTCTAACATGACTCTTCAAAAATTCTAATAAGTCATTTAATGGAGGAATATCATCACCCTTAATTAAGTGAATGCTCCCACCAGCCTCTGGTTGTTGCATCCAATTTAAATTGAATAATGAACATAAATAATATGCTCAAGAACTCATCTACATTAGAATTTAGAGCTTCTAAGCATCAGATACACACTGTAGCTGAGTCAATATTTAAAATCTGTACCACATTTTCATAATTTAATGTTGGCAAACTCAATCAGCCAATTGCGGAGAGAGAGTTTACGTTAAACTATGTTTAACAGCCGAACAGCATCTAGATGTTAGCTGGCTAAATCGCGATTTAAAATGCATTATAAACTACAACAATACCCAGCAGAAAATAATTAAATATGTAATCAACACCTTATCCTTCGCTGAGAGATTATTTTTATTAAAACAAACATTTTCGATCCATTCATTGGATCATCTTCAGGTTAAAATTGGACGTTTTCAATCCAATGAATGGATCCAATGAATGGATCAAAAACGTTTGTTTTAATAAAAATAATCTCTCAGTGAAGGATAAGGTGTTGATTACATATTTAATTAAAATGCATTGCAAAGACAACAATCATTTATTTCTGAATTCCGTCCAAATAAACCGCGGCAAAATATCGGCTATTACTTTCTTTGCTGTTACTGCCCTCTCTCAGGAGTCATTTGTTTATGATGTCAGAAAAATGGCAATGAATAAAGTGCTCAAATCATGCTAGAATCTTTCCAAAGAAGAAAAAAGTGTTGTTGTGGAAATTATAAAAAATTATCTTGCAGTTGAAGAGAAAGGTTACAATCGTATTCTTGGAATGAAAAAAACCACATGGTAGATGATAAAAAACAAATTTTTTTTGTCTTTTAAAAAAAAAAAAAAAAAATATATATATATATTTCTTGATAGACTATACATACAGGATGAGTCCATATCATTTGGTCCTTTCACACACTATTGAGGTAATAACGATTCTACGGCAGAGTTGACCTTTTATTGTAGGCTACTTGTCTGACTCTAAATGCAAAAAAAAAAAAAAGTTAAAAATTGTGCTACTGCTAGAGGACTATTTTTAACTTTTTTTCATTTACAGGCAGACGAGTATCCTACAAAAAAAGGTTAACTCCAACTCCACCATAGAATTGTTATTACCTTAATAGTGTGTGAAAGGACCAAATGATATGGACTCATCCTGTATGTATAGTCTATCAAGAAATTATTTTTTCGTAAATGTGAATTCGTCCTGACAATTTTTTAAAGAATTTTTGTTGTCGTTTCCTTGTCAGTCTGCTCACAGCAAGACCTTATTCTTATTTCTTAAACAAGACCTTATTCTTATTTGTTAAACAAGACCTCATTCTTATTATAAACATCTCTATCACTATACAAAAAACTTTTAAATTTATTTAATGGTAGTTTGCTAGATACTTGCATATAGTAGAGACATGAACTCCAATAAGATCACTGGCTACCCTCTGGAAGCTTCCGGTGGCATAAAATCGTAATGCTGTCAACAACTGTTGTTTGGTAGTTAATGGCAATCCTCTTCTATCCAGATGCTTAATTTTGTCGCCAATACGATTTAAAATACAAACAAATTCAGATTTAGAAAATCTATACCAAATTTGAAATTCATCATTGGAATAGATTTCTAAAGGATATTCCAATCTCGTATTACCCTCTCTCTTCATAATTGTCAAGATGAATGATTTTCTTGATTCATCCTGTTTACAATATTTATTAAATGAACAATGTCCATTATAACAAACTTTGCAACCAACAAATGAATATGGCGACTTCTACTCAAGTAAAATGGTGTGTAAACATGTTATTGAGGAGGTCTAGAAAATAGGTCAAATAAGTTGTTTCTAATTGCTATCTAAACTGTGACAAGAGAGAAATGCCGACTCTGCAATGAAATTCTTCTGAATCACAGTCTAGATCAGTGTTTCCCAACCTTTTTTGTGCTATGCCCCACCTAAGCCTTTCTAAAATTCTTATGCCCTCCTAACACATACAGTGGCTATATGGTTAACTTAAACTCTGGATGAGTTCATTTTAGAATTGCCCCCCGTTGGAAAACTGGTCTAGATCAGGGGTCGGCAACCTGCGGCTCGCGAGCCACATGCGGCTCTTTGGATGTGAAGCTGCGGCTCTTTAGTTCCATACGCAAATATTATTTTCGATTAACGAGGATTAGGCACTGATTCTATCTCAGCCACTTGTACTCGCTTTTCACCGCTCCCCTCCCCCGTGACAAGCGTCGTCACTGTCGTCAGTCCGTCGGAAGCTCTCGAATGATGCCGTCGTCGGATGTTTCTATTATCTAATTTGTTGTGAAAAACACTACTTATATATGAATAAATAGATTAGTTTTTTTTTAATCAAAAAACTTTATTTATGTGAGTACTATTTATTGTTGGCAAGAAAAAAATTTTGTGGCTCTTTAAAAACTTTGAAATTTTATAAATTGTAATTTTGGCTCTTCTGACTCAAAAGGTTGCCGACCCCTGGTCTAGATGATCTATAAAGTGTCGTTGACTTCTAAACATTGTCTCTGCAATTGGCTGAATATCTTCTTAATTAATGAGGCTACCAATTTTCTTTTCTGAGAATACCATTGGGAAAGTAGTTCCAATGCAATTTCAAAATTTCAATCACAAATGGATAGGGACTGTATGATTTTTAAAGCTTCTCCTCTAAGTGAACAGTTTAGATATTGTAGTTTCTGTGCATCTGACTATTTTCCATTGTTTGTAATAGCTGCTTGGAACAGGCCAGTGAATGGCAGCCATTCTTCAAAACTGCTTCTAAGTGAGGAAATGTCAATTTAGGTCATTCTAAATCTGATATTTAAGTAGCTTTATTAATGCTGGAGAGACAATTACTATTCTTCAGTTTTAGATTTGTTCTATCACTAATATCAACTCATCAATCAAATCTTGTGCTATTTGACTTTCCTCAATATATTGTTCTAATTTGTTCTCCTTACAAATATGAAACAGACTATCAAAAACTTCAAGTCATTAGCAATTGCACCCAATTCGACCTGTACAGATCAAGTTGCATGCTATCTGAATCTTCAAAATTCCCCAGGATTTTGTCCCTTAGTCTAGTAAGACTAAGGGACAAAATCTTGGCAACTCTTTTTTTATACAGAATGCTTTTAGATCCATTTTTAATAAACACTAAAATATCATATCTGAACACCTTTAACTAAAACACTAGTCTAACATCCAACTCTTAAAGTAGACATTCACTTTCATTCCAACCGAAAATGCGTCTCAAATCCGATCCAATCTACTGCACTTATAACACTATCCCCATCCGCCTCGACAGACCAGAAAATAATGAAAAAAAAAAAAAAATGTTTTAAATGTTCTTGTTTACAAGTTCTGAATAAAGTACACAACTTCTTTGTAACAATTGTAACAACAAAAACAAGAATTTTATCTTCACTGTGGGCAACACTCTGGCACCCAACAATCAACAAGCATGACACTGATTCTCCACCAGACACACACAGATTAGTACTGATCCAACCATATAAAAGGGAATGTACTAGTTCCTTTGTTCTAGGTGGGAACATCTCACCCCACACTCTTAAGGGATTAGATTACAAAAGACACACCTGAGTCATATGACAATTTCCATTTAGTTTTATACATCGAACTTAACAGTCACATTTAGAGGTATGGTTCTTTTGACTTTTTTGCTCCTATGTACGGTACATAAATGTTCTATAGCTCTGTTAAGGTCCCAATGGTATCATTACATTTGTACCAGACTATACCCTATTATTTATATAGCTCTAAAATTTTTAAAAGTTATATTGTTCTTAAAACTGCATTCACTGTTTGACAATCTGACAAATGAAGTGTCTTCGTTTAAGACAAATTAATCTTCGAGTATGGCCATTTCAAAACGCGATATGAAAAAAAGTCCAGAATTCACTAAAGTTTGTAAAACAAAAAAACGAGTTTGTAATGTTAATAGCATATATTGATAGGGTAGGAGTTACTTTTATATATAACATGTGCATATAAATCACGTACATATACACAGGTATACACAAATTATGAGTCTGAAGTTAGTCCATTTCAAATTTTAACACGTGAGAATTTAATTAAAGTATTCGCGCTCTATAAACTTTAACGCCTATACGAGTATAATTAAAGTAATTTCTTTAAATTAAACACACACTATATATAAAATCTCCTATTATTTAATATAAATACCTTAATTTAAAGCAGAAAACGAATCCAAAACGTAACAAAACTTCCTGTGACGTACTAACCATGTGCTCTAGAGTCTAGACGACACTAAACATGTATCAAGAAATAGTTTCAAATATTGTTTTCTTTATTTAGATTAAATTTTGAAGCGACCAAAATGTAAAACGAAGCTGTTTATTTAATTCTTATTTATTTTAAAATTTCAATGCAGATAATATCATAAATATTTCACGTTTAACTTGAGAAATTTTTTTTTCGGCGGAAAGAGAGAGTATACTTTTGATGTGATTTGGTTTTAAACAAAACATTACGGGCGCACTCATTAGAGGCTTGTCGAAACAGTCGAACCAATAACATTATTCGTTTCAAATGAAACGGGCTTTGTTATTGGTTTTTTAACGTGGCCGACGATGCAAACCGTCAAATTTTTTATTATTTTGATTAATTAAAATTTATATCAATACTTTTGTTATTATTTATTTTGAAGAAAGAAGATAAATTAAAATGTAAGTTTGATTTTACAAAAATGTCGTCAAATTTTATGTTTAGCTTATGACGTCATTAACATGTGGAAGTTCAGCTGGGAAGTAGAAGCCGGGGTTCTCAGACATCTTTATTTTTATTTTTCAATGCCTTTGTTTCATAATTGTAGTTTATTTCTACACAGACTTATCCGTAAATTTTAATCTATATCCTTTCCCACAAAGAAATTGTCAACCTTTAAATAATTTAAACTAAAATTTGCAAATATTTATAATGTAAAACTATAATTTTAAAACCAAAATCTAAAAAATTTATTATTCTTCCTACCCTATGGTATTAAGAGGACCTTTTTCAGGTCTACAATAGGGTGACCAGGTGGCAAGGGATGGGGCAGACCACTCTGAAACATTCCTGGGGTTATTTTTTATCACCTGAATTTGATCCTGGGCCCCTTGATGATGTCCATCTAGCTAATTGTTCATATGCTGTGAATCAAATCTGGGTCTTTTGGGTGAAAATCAAATACCCTAACCCAGTTTTAACTGATATGCTGTAATGACACTTAAGAATTTATTTCTATGGTACACCAATATCTTATAATAAATTCTTTTACTGTTTATTGACATTAAATAATAATAAACTGACAAATAATTTAAAAAATTCTTTATTATTATTGTAATGACACTTCAAGAGTGCCACAAAACATAGTTCTGAGCAGCACTATGACACTTCTTACCTATATTACTAAAAGTGCAATAACCCTAATAAATAAGTAGGTGTGCCACAAGAAAAAATTCCCAAGTTGGGATACCATTATTAAAAACAGATTGAAAAACACTGTCCTAATCATTAGACTATATAAAAACATTTCGTTATTGACTAAAACTTCATTTAATTTTACTTTTCTTGAGATGGGAAAAAGTAAAAGTTGAAGTGGTAAATTATTCATCTCTTAAGTGTCCTTTAATTATCTAATGATAGAAATCTGACAACCCTAAATATAATCAAACGTAACCATTTATCTTTTCTGATTTGTATAACATTGATCTTCCATATTCTTCTAAAAGTTGTAAGTTCTCGGTAGATTCTTGTGTGGTGGTACACCAGTATATTTTGTTGTTTTTATTTTATATGTGTATATATAAGAATATTCTATTCCCTTTTCTCTTTGTTCTGTTTCTATACTTTCTGGAACTTTCATCTGAATGTGGGTGGTCAGTGACCCAATTTCGGGACAAAGGAGTGAAGATAGCCCAGAGGGCAAGTGGGGGACGATAAGGACACTTTTGGCTTTGGACCGAAGGAGGAAAGACCGTCGGAGAGAGCGGTCCCGAGATCGGTGTTGCTTCGGCCGGAAGGGTTACGAAGAACACTAAAGATAGAAATAGCTTTGGAAGAGAAAAAGAACATTGGTAAAGCCGAGACTAAAGGAAGAACTTTGGGTCTTCGCATGTGCTCCGTCCCCATAGAAGAAAAGAATCCCAAGACGAAATCATCTAGTGGCCACCACCGCAGTCAACCATTCGGGTACCCGTTCCTTACTAGAAATTTCCATTCTTGTTCTCCCATTCTATTCTAATTCTTGTTCTTTCTTTCCTCTTCTAGTTATAAGTAGTTTTAAGTTAGTAATTAAGTGTCTCCTTTGTTACGCGAAAGAAAAGTTTAGCTCCACTGTGAAACAACAATCGGTGTTGTTTGTTCCCTTTTTGTTTAATTAAAGTGAGGAACAAGGAGGTCGGAATCAACGAACCTTTCCTGTATATATGTTCATACAGTAAAATAAAGCACGTCTTATTGTTTTATATTCTTGTCTCTTTGTGAGAATTCATCTACCACCACGTGCTCACCACACTTGTTAGCATTACTTTTGTAAAGGTTGGTATTAACAAGTAATATGCAGTTTGGCCCCAAATAAAGTTATACTGCAGACATGATAACATTTTATTGTAAGACTGCAATTCCTGTTTTTATATAAATTTTTGGGAATGTTATACATTTCAACCAATTGAGAATATAAAAAAAAGAGCATCAGAATCTTCAAATATCTTTTATTTCCAAAGTTATAGCAGAATTAACCAATGCACCTTTAACAGTGGTTGAATCCACAGCTGAGGATGGCCCTGGTTGAAAACATTATTATTTAAACTTCACCCATTGTTAAAGATGTATTGTCTAATTTAACTGAATAACTACAGTGGCTAGTTCATCCTTACTCAAAGATTTAAATTTGCTATTTTAAAAATGAAATCCATGATATAACTGCATAATACAAGAATATAGTATTTTCATATGAATTTAACCAGATTAAATTTTTTAAACACCCTGAAAAAGTCCTGTAATTCCAAATATGTAAATCAATTAATTTTTTTTGTATTTTGTTGAAATTTTATGCAGAAAATATTAATTCTGGCAGATAAATGCAAAGGATGCTTATGTTAGAGAAAAGACTTTAAGATGCAGCACCTTTCCAAAATATAGCTGTTTTCATACCAATAGACCAAGAAGTATCAATTGATTTGCATAATTTATATTGACAACACAAATTTAAGATTAAAATATTTTTGCTACTTTACACTTTTCAATTTCAATTGCATATTTTTCCAATTTTATAAACCATTTTTGATTTTGCATAAAGGAAAAAATGTTTGGTGTCCAATAAGGTAATAAAGGTGGCACATAGAATCGCAAAATGTAAAAAGTCTCATACCATCGCAGAACTCATTCTGCCAGCTGCTGTAGATATGGTAAATATTAGATCAGTGAGTCTGCTAGGAAGCAGCTTTCAAAAGTGCCTTTGTCCAATAACACCATCAGTCATAGAACACAGCACACAGCAAAAGATCTTCAATGTTCAGTTAATTGAAAAAATAAAAGGGAAGAATTTGGGTTGCAACTGGATAAAGACAGATAATAATAATGATGCTCACTTGATTTGCTATGCACAGTTTATAGATAGTAATAATATTGTAGAAGACCTTCTCTTTTGTAAAAGTATCACTGCTGGTGCTAAGGCTCACACTTGTTTGAGATCCTTGATATTTTTATATCTGAAAATAATTTGGAGTGGACCAAATGCATTGATATCTGTACTGATGATGCTCATTCTATGTCTGGCTGTTATGGAGGACGGCAAACACTTATACAAAGCAAAGCCCGATGCTCTGTGAACCCATCACGTTATTCACAGGAAAGCACTTGCATCAAAATATCTGAGTTCTACATTGAACCAAGCTTTAGAATATATAGTGAATGTAGTAAACTAAGTACTCGGCCATTGAATGCAACATTTTTCAAAAAAACTATGTGAGGATAAGGGATCAGAGCACACATCTTTGTTGTACTACAGCACTTCACAATGGTTCTCTCATGATAATGTTTTGTCTTATACATTTGAACTGCAACAGGAAATTTATATATTACTTAAAGAGGAAGACCTCAAGTATGTCGAAAACTTTGCGAATGAAGAGTTTTTGGTAAAACTAGCATACTTAAGTGATAATTTTGAAAAGCTGAATGCTCTGAATCTCTTCCTGCAGGGAAGAAACATACACCATTTAAAGTTGTTTGAGAAAATTTTAGCTTTTATAAAAAAAATTAAAACTATGGAAAAGAAAAATTAATGAAGACAGAGGAAAAGAATGTTTCCCCTTGTTGCAACACTTATTGACCTCCAGTGAAGTTGATTTCTCTCGAGGTATGAAATCTAGTTTTGAAGAACATTTATCACACCTGGTTTGAAAAATATTTTCAAAATATCGATAAATTTGCATGGATTCAAGATCCATATAATGCCAGTGCGCCATCTGAATTTACTGCTGCAGAAGAGAATCTTATTGTCTTGCAACAATACATTGAAAAACAAAATTTAGAAGCATGCAATTAACTGAATTTTGGATATCAGTAAAAAAATGAATATCCCTTCAGAGTGGTAAAGCTCAGAAAATCTTAATTCCATTTATGACTTCTTATTTGTGCAAAGCTGAGTTTGTCACTTGATAAAAACTAAGCATTGCATGAAAATCAATGTGGAGACAGAAATTAGGGTAACAGTGTCTAATTTGATTCCAAGACTTGAGAAAATGTTCAACGATCAACAGGCTCTCCATTCTACTAATTATAATTAATTGAATTTGTTCAGTTACATTTTCTATTTTAAATACAGTAGATCCCCCTATAAAACCGTTTCCTATAGTTATGATTCCTATAAAAATTGTGGCAGTATCCGTAAACAACGGTAAAAATAACTCCTAATTAAAAAGATGGATTCCATCGTATATTATATATTTGGAGTTTCAAAGGGTCCCTCTTTATTTTAATATAATAAAAACTAATTTAAGGTGGTTACGCAAACAGTCAGTCAGTAAACTTACCAAGATCCGCTAAATTATATTTAATCTCTCAAAAAGTAGCGTGGGGAGATTGAATCGTGTTCTTGTTGCAAAATTTTGGCTATCGAAATGATCCTATAATGTTAAATGAAACTGAAGTCTCTGATATTTTAATGAGATTGGCATATAATTATTTAAATGAATTTAAAGATAGAGCTGCTAACTATAAATATAATAAGTAGCATTTGGATATTTTTAATGAATGGGGATCAGTAACCTATTGAATACAG